GGTGTAATAAAACCAAAACTGGAGCCTTTGGCCTGAATACAAAGCACTATGCCTGGCACAAACTGAAGACAGCTCATACTTTTGTTATACATTAAAATATTTTGCCCTTTTAAATTGTTGCACATGTTGTGAGAATCAAGGGGAAAAAAGTCATTTTGATGTATTAGAAATGTTGGTCATAACACAACAATATTTTCATTTGCTCAGGGAGGGGGTGAATACTTTCTGAAGGAACTGTATGACACATATACAGTGACAACAGATCCAATAATGCAATGTGGGTTTGGAAACTACAATTCCCGGATTCCTCACCTGTACATGTCAGGTGATTCAAGAGAAGCAGGGGATAATAAAGGCTAAGATGGTTTTAATTCTCAGAGACACCCAAATGTAAACACTGCTTTAGCCAAAAACTGTGTTACCTGCTGGTTAGCCAGAGCTCTGACAGGAACTTATATATAGTATAGTTAAATTATTTTCTTCTTCTTTAAGCAGTAATGGTTAAAAAAAAGACTATTTGTTTTACTCTTAGCTTCCTGAACCCAGACTCCCAGCTTTTTATTTGATTTTAGAGTACAAGTAAAATTTCAATGAGTGTGTTGATGTATTTATACACCAACAAATGACAATGACCAAATTTGCAATCACTTACATTTTCTGATGCAGAAATCACAAAGCTTTGCTGCCAAATTTGGAAGAATATACCTGGCTACCTTCCAAGACAATATAGAGCGAATATGTAGCTGATATCTTTCAGGCAACTCTTAGACAAGGCCACACTGCTGTGAATTCTCTGGAGGCCAATAGCGAGGCTTTACATTTTTAAATAACAGGTTCAGCAGAGGAAAAGGTGCTCTTCCTTTCAGAAAATGTAAAACATATTCCTGCAGCTCAGGCTACACTACAATGCCTACGCAGGAGCCAAACCTGGGGGTCCAAAAAAACTTTACTCAAAGAAAGGTTTGCCCTTAGCAAGCACTCGCTGCCAGAGAGAGTTCTGGGCCCAGGTACAGAGCTATGTGAAAACTGGTTTCAAGCAGAAAATACTTTTGCTGATAGTGGAGACTTCTGGATAACACATTTACATACCTGCTAACAAAAGCCACTGGTCCCCCTGCTAATACATACATATTTTGTCATGAAAAGATTGGTCCCTTGTTAAAAATTAATCAGCACAATCCTGCACCTTACACCAGAGACCTGATAGCCCAGGCACAGTCATATGATGTCTGTGAGTCACCCGACACTCGAGGAAAACATTAAAGCTGCATTCACACAGAAAAGGTGCACAGGAACAGGCAGTTTTCTACCTTGATCAGCCAAACTGAGGCTTAAGCAACTATACACTTACCCAATCCTTTCGGACGTTTCATTGAAAAATGACCATTTTTATACAATGGCAAGTTTCAGAATGCAGGAGGATAAATTAAAAGCACTTGGTATCATCTCAGTCAGTCACATATTCTATTCTACAGTAGATGGAGCTCCTCAGTTCCAGAAACAATAACTGTGAGCTTGCATTTCAGTCCAAATAACCACAGGGAACATTCGCACTAAAAGCTGATGGATGAGGAACTTTTCTTTTTTAATTTATGTGTAACATTCTGAACCTGAGGGAGAATCTGAGTGAAAGTATGAGAAATCCCGTGACAGACCGAAATAAACCCAGAACGTCAATTTCAGCATTTTTAAGACCATTTAACTGAAGTCTATTTAACTCTGTAAGCCAATTTCTCCTTAGTTTTTGTTCACGCTTAGCAAAAAGAAATTCTACAAAACTCATCAGGAAAAAGATTCTTTTACTAGTGTGTTCTGGCCTGTAGCACAGTATTAAACTATACAATAATTGTCAATGACACCCCTTCTGTTAAATAAACACTTTCATACTAGCAAGTGGTTATTAAGATGTCAGTACATTCCTTTACAAAACATAGTAGAACCATACTTCTGTATGTCTTTTGTCTGTCAATGTACACTACATTTTCTTTTTATACAACACAGACAGTGCCTTTAGAAATAACTGACCTCCCTAAGCAACTGCAAATACTGTTGTGTTTCGACCAGAATATTTAATGCATCGATATGATTTTTTTCCCCCAATACACACATTTGCAAGAATTTAAAGGAACAAAATATATTTATTCCGTTTCATAAATTTCTAAAAATTATAAGCAGAAATATTTAGTTTACTAAAGTATTCACCCCTCTGAGCCAATAAGGAGTTGAAGCAACTTCTGCAGCAATTACAGTTTTGAGCCTTCTTGGGTATTTATCAGCTCTGCACATCTGGATTTGGGGATTTTCTCCCATTCTTCCCTGCAGAATTGCTCGCTCTGGGTCAAGCTGGATGGGGAGCATGGGCAAACTGCAATCTTCATGTCTTTCAACAGATTCTCACTGGAATTGAAGTCTGGGGTGTGGCAGGGCCACTCACTGGCCTCCACCTTCTTGTTCTGAAAGCCACTGCAGTGTCTCTTTGGCTGTATGTTAGGAGTCAGTATGCTGATGGAGCATGAAACTTCAGCGTTTACATTTAAATTGTGTGTAAAACATTTCCCAGGATTTTTGTTTGACATTATAGAGCAACTTCTGTAGATCAGTATCAAATAAATGTCATTTTCTGTTTGTGTCTGCAACATAATAAATACTGAAAAAACCAAGGGGGGTGAATACTTTCTGAAGGCTCTGTATAAAGGGAAGATACAACACAGCCTTGCTGAGGCTTTGCAACCGATGGAGAATGAAACCTCGGAGTGTCACAGCAAAGAGGCGTTTACTTATCAAATCAAGAAATTTCAGCGTTTACATTTAAATTGTGTGTAAAACATTTCCCAGGACTTTAATTTGACATTATAGAGCAACTTCTGTAGATCAGTATCAAATAAATGCCATTTTCTGTTTGTGTCTGCAACATTATAAATAGTGAAAAAACCAGGGGGGGGGGGGGGTGAATACTTTCTGAAGGCTCTGTATAAAGGGAAGATACAACACAGCCTTGCTGAGGCTTTGCAACCACGTAACTCACACCTCTCAAGATAAACTATCAGCTTTTCTGATACCGTCAGAACAGTTAGAAACGACCCAGAGTGTGTGGTTCCTCTTTCGTAATGTTTTCTTTCCGAGATATACTGGCTGTGTAAACTCTTCACATCCTTAAGCTAAGAAACAAGCCACCATCATTTCTTCAAAACCTCACGTTTTCATTTATACTGCTGATCTTTTAAGCCACCATTCTTTCTATGGTTTAGGCTTTGTCACATCAGCCCTGTTTCTAATGGTGATGGAAATGAAATGTGTTCCAACTCTTCTAAAGAGTCCATGGCAGGACTTCCATCAGACAAGTGAAAGAGATTACAACTGCATGCTGACTGTGGTACAGCAAATATTTCCATTTTTGTTTTTTAGCTCTCCATAGCATAAGCACATAATTCAGGTTACTGCATTGCAATATCCATCTGTTTTAATGATTGCATTCATTTTTATTTGCTTCAGCATAAAATATTTGCTTCAATGATCTATACATGCTTCATGTAAAACATCAGGTTTCCTGCAAACAGGTTATCATATTGTTCTTTGATCATCATTGTCATGAATTTCCATTACAAAAAACAGTTGCACTCTACAGCCGTAGACAATGTTTCAATGTTTCATCAATGCCAACACACTGGCATCCCGAGACCTGGGATATTAAAGATTAATGTACAGTAGTGCAAGGACGCCAGAACATGTGAGTATGAACAACAATGGTCAGTTTAGGAGTCCTTTAGAAACCAAAACCACTAAAAGCCCACCATGTAAGCAAGTTACAACATTCAAATTCTGAAATGAGTGAGACATTTCAATTGCCAATGTACAATGTTACTGTTAAAGAGCTAATTGCAGAAATTAAGTGATTTTCTGCATTACCATATTCTCTCAACATTTCCTTTAAAGAACAGGACTATGACACCTACTTAAACTGATCATTCTACTCCGCACAGCCTAAATGCAGCTATTTAAAGTGGTCCATCAAGCAAAGTACAAGCAAAAAAACTCTAAAAAACCAAAATCTTTCAAATGAGTCAAAGACCTAACAAGTTACTGTGTGCAAAAACATTTGATAGGGATGGATACTAAGGGGACGGCACAGTGGCTAGTACTGCTGCTTTGCAGCACAGCGATACTGGGCTCAGGTCTGGACCTGGGATGCTGTCTGTGTGGAGTTTGTCTGTTCTCTTCATGTTCATGTAAGTTTTTGCTGGGGGCTCTGGTTTTCTTCCATAGTCCAAAGACACAATGGTAGGTTTACTAGATTCTGAGAACCTGGACCTGGTATGAGTGTGACTGTGTGCCCTGCAAAGGACTGGACTGGCATCCCATCCAGGGTTTTATCTTGCCTTAGAAAATGGATGGATAAACTGACGAAAACTGAAGTCTACAACATGCAAATGAGTTACACCTATCAATAACTCACTTTAGTAAAGCCCAGAACTACAGAATGTAGAGTCGTTTACACTATTCTAATTTCACAGCACAGGCATGTCTTCTGTATAATTTGAACAAAATGCATTAGTCTATCTAAAACAGAACTTCTACTTGATACTTGAATACATTCTAACAATTAGCCTACATCAGCTGAATTTTCTGCTAGGCTGATCTACATCACAATTACACCAGAACTTAAATTTATTACAATGCGATCCAGAACTGACAGATTAGGCACAACACAACAATTTGTTAGGCATTTACGTTGCAGGTTTTACACCTTATAAAGAGACAGAGCGTCTCAGAGTAGGTTTTAAAAAATGTTCTGTACTATTAACTGATTCATTTAATTGCAAATCATCGGGAAGACTTTCAGGTTTGTATGTGTTCGTTTCTTCGAATACTTCACATATGCCTCAGGACACCTGCCTTTCCAGTTACCACTACCTCTTTCTCTTTAACCATATCTATGCAAAGAGAAAAAGCATACAACTGCCACCTGCGTTTTACACGCTACTGACAAATTATTCACTTACCCGATCTGGTATCAAAAGTCACCACGAAAACTGCCACGATTTGGTCTTTTTCCTCCCAGTTGGGAGCCCTTTGATTCTTCACGGCGATTCCGGACTCCCAGTCGGGGTATGTGGGACTCTCTCTGACTGGGCTCAGCGCATCCCAGCACGGCCCCCTGTGTACCGCTCCTACCTCGCTGTCCGCTTCTCCTCTAACAGCTGCTGCTCCGGCTGCCGGACCGCCTGGGCTCGTACTCCACCCCGTGCCCGGCGCCGTGCTGCCCAGCGCCCTGCAGCTGGCAGGGCTCGGTTCCGGAACCTTGTCCTGCGGAGCTGCAGGACCCAGTTCGGCCGCTGGGGTTTCTTCCCAGTCGAGCAGCGGAGCTCGGTCCGACTGCTCTACCATCTCGCTGGACCCTTTAATACTGTACTTGGATCTGTGGATAAAGTTGGGTAGGTGTCTCTGGACTGCTCACGGAAATAACACCTCTGTAATGTAACGTTTCGGTCCAACTGACCGCAAGTTATATAAACCCGGTGACGATCGCTGTTGACTTTTCCTACTCGTACGAGCACTGATGATTCTCACAGATCCAGCCGGAGTGCACAGGGCATTTCCACAGCGTCAGAGTCGAGCACTACTTCCGCTCATGTGAGCTCATTAAAAATGCAAAGAATCGCAACGCAGTGGCTAGAGGTTCACTCCTGAGCGCTGCCAAAAGCAAATAAAGGCACAGCGCTACCTGTGGAGTTGCTTTGCGAGCATGAAAAATCCAAACCAAACCTATCATCATAAAATGCGACGATTTCAAGGCGGTTATTCATTTCGTGGTAAACACCCGCTTTAAACAGAAATTTAACCCGCTGTTTGAAATTAAATGTTTTTGAACTGTAAGATAGGTGCTAGCATCTTAAAAACCATACTATTTCCATGCAATTTAAATATAAAAAGGTAACCAGCGACAACCTTTCCCAAATACAATACGTTTGTTGTTGTTGTTGTTGTTGTTGTTGTTTTTATTCGTGTGCATTTTGTTTAATGCGACACTGATAAGCTTTTATAAATACAACAAAATGTATTATAGGCGCCAAACGGGCAATATCTTGTCATGAAAAAGGTGCGTGTACGCAACACAGAAATGTGGGTAATTGTGATTGATCTTCCGTGCAGCCAATCGATTGCGCTCCCCTGGGTAGATGGGCGGGAGAGAAACGTCGACGTGTCGCAATTTGAAGAGTGTCTCTTATTTTGCATTCTTCGCGCGAAACAGAGGTGTGGTGGAGTTTGAGGCTGCAGGTATGGAGTAAGACAATCAGCTCCAGAATTAGGTGTTTTAAAGTTTTTTTTTTACCTGAAGTGATATTTGAAAGGGCGAGCAAAAAGACAGAATTGAGCATTTTCGTTCTCTATTGATTATTTATGGTTCCTATAAACTTAAAGATGAAGGAGCAAATTAAGCTAGAGCCGATTTGAATTAAGCGCCTTACCCAAAACTGCTTATTTATTAAAAACTTGGCTATCAGTTTGTGTACAGATCATGGCCGAATTCTTTACCTTTTCCCTTTTTCCAAATAATCAACAAGTAGGTGGTCGGTAGACTTGACTCAAGGATTATCAGATTAGTTTGTGTACCGACCCTTCCATGGTTCCGTGTGCTATTGTCCTCAAAACTGTTTAAATTCCTGTAAACGGAGATGCGTGGAATAACTGGTTTGGGAGACATAGGAGGTAGTATTTTTAGCCCTAGAGTGTGTTTTTGAACAGCATGCTGTAACTCCTCGAAATGTGCTCAGGGTGTGTGAATAACGTAAGTTTGTAGTTAATAGCCCACCATCCCGAGAAATGAGTGTGTTTTGACGTTAAAATAATAGTGAATTGTCAGTCAAGGAACGCTATGTTAGAAATAGAATTGGCTGTACTAAATCCAAGGTGAATGTAATAACTATGTAAGTAAATATAGTAGAAAAGCCTGAGGGGAAATGAAATGGTTACAGGTATATAACGAAAAAGGTATATCTGATCATAAGCAATATGAATAAAGTTATATACACCTAGAGACGGTGAAAATGAGTCTTGGGGAGTATGAGAAGATTTTATTGCTCTCCTGTAAATTTCTTCACGTTTTCACTTTTTTCATTAGAGCATTTGTTTCATAAAGTAATCAATGTGCTCTGTAATGAAAACATAAACGTCCTGTAGTCTTCAAGGACATGGTCTGTACCTCTCATTTGAATTGCTCAAGTGCTGTCTTTGGGACCTGACAGCATGTACTTGCACCATTTGTTTAATCCATACTTCACCTGGTGGTTTATAGCAGACCTACTAGACAGGAATCTGTGCTGTATGAGCTCCATGGGGTAAGTTTGAGACATTTTAAAACAACCTGCCTTCACTCCAATGCATCTGTGATGCAAATCCTGGTGAATATTTGTATATGTTAAAACACTGCTGTTAAGAACAATCTCCACTCCCCAACTGGAATTTAACAGCTGTCACTGCTGTGTTCTGCATGAGCAGCTATGAAAAGCAGGTTGAAATAAAGCTGGTATGCCTTGGCTCTGCATTTAGAAAGGTTTTCATACTTTTATCAATATAAATATCCATACAAGCCATCTTGTTCCAGTTTAGAGGCTTAATGACACTGACATTTAAATCCAGCCATTTCCTAAAAGCGATAGCTGGGAAACCTGTTGTGACACTGTTGATAAAGACGTGTTCTCTACTTTCCTGTATTTACCTTCCTAAATTAATTTGCTTTTACTTTCCATGGTTGACCCAATGTAAGAGTCTTACTAGTGAGTGTGAAAAAGTCCCCTGGGTTAACCTTATCTGTAGCCATTAGCAATTAATATACTTAAATCTCCCCATAGTCTACTTTGTGCTAGACGTAATAGATTTAGTTCCATTTACCTGTCTGTGAATGACATTCCCTCGTGAAAATTATTTATGATGTTCCTTTTTCAACTGTAACTCTGAACTGTAGTGACAAGAACTGAACACAGTTGTTTGTGCAATCTTCATAGTTCATTGTAAAGCTTAAGCATAATTCCCTGCATACATCCTTCTGTACACCCTGTTTTTTTGCTTTTTTTTACAATTTTCCAACATTGCTTTAACAAAGACGTAGAATAATCTACATGCAGTACATTGCAAAAGCATTCAACACCTTCCATATTCTTGAATTTCAGATCATGGTATAATCATATTTTGTTATACTATTACTGGTATATATACTGACATTGTAGTAGGTTAGTCAGACAAATTGGCGCTGGTGCCAATGTGTGTTGTGCAGATGGACTGGCATCCTATTCAGGCTATATTGTGCCTGTTGGTATAGGCTCCAGCTTCTCCACAACCCTGTACTGGATAAACTGGTTAGAAAATGAATGAATGGATGGTATTATGCCTTTTTAATGTGAATATTTTAATCATAATTGAAAGCTTAAATAGAACTGTGTTTTATGGGTAAAATAAATTTTAGCAAAAAATGTGTTAATACATTTTGATACTGTTAGTTGGTTTGATATTGTTGATGGACTATGGTATTCAAAACATTCTGCAAGATTCAAGTCAGGACTTTGCACTTTTAAAGGACCTTCACCTTCTTAAGCCACCCAGCTTTGGGTCACTATCCTGCTGAAAGCAGACAACTTTCCTCCTTGACCAACTGCTCAGTTTGGAGGGACAGCTGATCTGGGCAGTGTCTGGGTGATACAGTATCCCAGGGATATTCAGTCTTTCATGTTTGTCATACCCTTTTCTTTTGGAAGTTACTTTGAAAGCTCCTTGGTCTTCATGATTAAATCATTTCTTGAAATTATATACTGTAAAATATTGATTAAAAAATCATCTTAACTAGTTTATTTGCATACATGGGTGCACGTTATTCTTGCACCAGAACTAATTGATGTTTGCTATAGCAAACACTTTGCTTAAATAAATACAGATTGCTAAACTGCATGCTAAACTAGCCATCTTGTTTTGGTTTTCATTTTTTCTTTGCAGGTTTTGGTTTCTTTCACTCTGTTTGAGCACTCAAGTTGGATTAAAAATATTTACCTTATAAACGTGTACATCATTTGTTATTCATGAAAACAGGATATTAGAGGAAAAGGGTGAAGATTTTTGCAAGGCATTGTAATACCCAGATCTTTTTTGTCTGTATGTCTCCATGAAACTTTGAGTTTCTAATGCAATATATATTGTGTATCTATCTATTACCAATGTGGATTACTGTGCTTTTCTCAATGTTGAATTGCATTTGCTATGTCCAAGGTTCATGTCCTGTCATGGTTTTTTCTGAGTCTCTGACATCCCTTCCTTTTATTTTGTCTGCCACTTCCCCTTTTTTTGTATCAGTACGCATTCAACAAATTTGCTAACTATAGCAGAACCTAAATCACTGCTAAAGATCAGGAAGAGAAACGGCCCCAACACCAGCTCTTGTGGCACACCACAGCTCATATCTGCCTACTTAGAATCTGTTTCTTAAGACAACTCATTGTTTCCTGTTAACTGGTTCTTGATTCATGTGCATATTTTTTGGATTCCTCTGGCTTTTAATTTTATAATCCACATTTGATAAGAGATGTTATAAATAGCTCTCTGGAAGATTACATTTAATATGTAGGAACATTTTCACTAACAGGCTAAATGTTTAGACCATTTCATTAGGGACAATTTTATTCAGTTTTGATAGGATCTGGACTGTGCCTGTTGATGGAACATCTACTGTAAGTCTCAGTTACAAGTGTCCTGCAAAAATGGTTTGAAACTGTATTGACATGGTGTAGTAGCTTGTTCTGACTGGAAGAAACGCTGTCTGAATTACAGATTCATTTTGAGGTTGGACATAAATATGGTTCATTTAGGTCCTGAAAATGAAGTGTTGATGTTAGCTTTTGTGTATAAAGGAATGTGGGCATTTAAAGACTTTGTTTTAAAAGACTTTTCTTTATCCTCACATAGGCAGTGTCAAAGACTAATTGGGATTGGTGGAGTTGTTCCCAAGCACTGTCCTGAAAAGGTCTTTTGTTCCCACCCCCCAGCAGAGATGGCGGCTGTGGGTCTGAGTGACCGAATCATCCAGCAGCTGGATTTCTCCAGCTGTGGGGAGGAGGACAGCAGCGACAGCAGCCTGGAAGATTGGAGCTGGAGGGAGGGCGGCCCAGAAGGCAGCTGGAGGAGGGAGAGTGGCAGTTCGATGTGTCGGACGCCCAGAATGTCGCGGAAACGCCAGCACAGTAGCGCAGCATCCCCTTCCACCCCCAGGACCACCTGCCCTGGCACCCCTTTGCACTACACGACCTGGAGAAAATTACGCCTCTGTGACACTCCCAGCACACCCAAAGTAAGCCTGAATCAGCCACTGCTTCAAAGCTGATAAGGTAGCGTGAGCGGTACACTTTGTCAATGTTGTTCTTTTTTTTTTGCTTCAGCTGAGGTTATGAAAAAAATATCATCTTCTGTTTAAATGACTCTGTAATTAGAGCTTAATTTTGGTCAACTCCTAAAGCTTTAAAAACGTCAACTTGACAAACACATTTTAATCTCCATAAGGGGATTCATTCAGAAAATGGGAATCCGTTTGATAGGAAAACCTGAGGAGTCTGTTGCAATGAGAAAACCATGATTGGGAAGTACAGGTTTGGTACAGAAGCACCAAACGACTTGTCTACCTCAAGGTGGTGCCATGGAAGCATTATAGCAGATGTCCTGTTTCCTCGGAGCTGGAGTTACCACCTCTGATCCTGTGGATCCAAGACCTGCTTGTTTTCTGAGCTCTGTTATGGAACTGAAACTCTAGCTGGCCAAATAATTGGATTAATTTTAACTGTTTTCCGTTTCATTACATGTCAGAGGTTGCTTTTTTGCATTACCTAAAAAAATTTAGATATTTCCATGCTTTGAGTAGTAAAAAAAGCAGAAGTTTCCATCATGCCACTTGTTAGTTCAATGAAGGATTCACTTAGGTACAAAACAGAACGTCAGGACCAGGACGTAGCTGACAGGTTCCCAGTAGGGCTGGGCAATATGGCCAAAAACATTATCACAATAAAAATGTTCATATTAGTCGATATTGATAATTATCATGATAAATGTCAAATCATTATTTCTTTCAAGTTTAAAGGCAGATTTTTTCTCCTGAGTGAAAGTTGAAGAAACCAGACAATTAATTGGTAAACTAAACAGCTCTTTATTTTAAGAACACAACAAACGCTTGCCAAACAGCAGAAACATTAAACAAATCTGAGGTAGAGAGTATTCAAGTCTTTTTTATGTCAAAATATGCATGAGTAAAATTTACAAAATAAATATCTTAATAGAAAAATTATGATCGTAAAAAGCCAAAAGATCTCCAAATTACCGAAGCTGAATGACTTTTTCTGTCGACGATGTCATGGTCCTTCAAGATGGTCGTTGGCAGCACTACATTTGCTTCAGTGTCGCTCATTTCTCCACTCTTAACTACAACCCTGTCAGCCACCACCGTGTGGGTAAACACCACCACGTTAGCTGCCCAGTCTGCAGCATGCACGCTCATGCACAAAGCATAAACATATATATCGAACATTTATCGAACTTTTGTTAAAATTATATAGAGGAAAATTATATTGCGATAATTATCGTTATCAAATTATCGCCCAGCACTAGTTCCCAGTACCAGTGTTGGGACCCCCTAGTCCTAGAAAATGAATTTAGAGAAGGGGGAGAAATTATGTGTATAGAAAGGTGAGACATTAGTCTGAGGATCCCTGTCTAGTATTCATGTTGGCCAAAAACTGGGGCACCCATCACAATTATGTAAAATGAATTACACACCCCACCTCCAATAAGATAATTAATTTACAATCTTGCAAATTGTACTTCATGGAGAGAATTAAGCTTCAAATTGTTAAAGGTTTAAATGAAACATCCTGCCAATTCAAGAGTTTGTGCTATATAATAATATAACCGAAGTTCAGATTTGTTTGCATGGTCATTTAATGCTGATTAAAAAAAAAAACACAATTGTAGCTCCCATAGTTAATGTTAATTCAGGCCTGTACTCAAATGTCCAATTTATCTTGTAGGCCTCAGCTGAGAAAATTGAGTGCTTGGCGTGCACTGATTTTGCCATGCGTGGTATTGATTTTTGAATTTCTCACTCTCACCTTCTGCTCTGCTTGTACGAAACGAACCCATTAGTTCCACATTTGGGGTAAAAAATTAAATTACTTTAAAGACTATATGCTCTTGGAATTTGAGAGTCCTACGCTTGTCTGCCCAAAAACGCTGTAAAAGGAACGGTGTCTGTGCTTGCTCTTGTGGAAGTTGCCTACTTGTTTGTGAGCTGACATCTGAAAGTCATGCAAAAGCAAATGTTGGATGAGTCGCTTAGTAGCTTTACTGGCTGATTTCTCTTCTTCCTCAGAGCTTACTGTCCAAGTCCACTCTGCTCAGCTCCAACAGCAAGCGTCAAGGACAAATGCTACTCAGGGTCACCGCGGGGTCGGACCTCGCCCACGTGCCTTCGGTCAATGTGAACCCCTTCACTCCTGAAACCTTCAGGAAGTGCAGTGAGCAGCTAAAGAGGAAGAGCAGGGACTTCGAGGATGATATAAGGTAGAAGTAGCTTAACTAATGGTAGTCTGCCGTGTTACATTCAATTCAATTCATTTTATATAGTGTCTTTCACAACAAGGCTGCCCCAAGGCGCTTAACAATGCAAGTAATCATACATTTTGTGAATACAGAACAGAAAAGACCAGAAGACAATGGAGGAGAGGAACCAAAAGCTCCTTAGTAAGGAGAAAAAGTTCTAGGGGTCCAAGGTCAATTGGCTGCCCAACCGCTCTGAGCATGCTAATTTAAAAAAATAGGAATGAATGAGGGTATTAATCCATCCATCCATCATGTCTTCTGTATGTCAGTACTCCATGCAGATCTCTGTAGACCAGCAAAATCCTTATAAACAGGACCTATATCCACGAAGTCCCTCTTGGATCCATGGCAGTGATGCAGCATCCAACTCGGATGGTGCCCACCCACCTACATCTACCATGTGTTCTGATCAAAGCCGATCAGCAATCTGGGGCAAAGCTGGTTTTGTATCCCATGGGGGACTTTTTCTTTCCTCCTCTCTTTGTAATTCTCACTGGGAAATTTATTTATTTGCACCAATATAACCTGTTTTTCACCACGTTTTACCTTGATGATTTCAATTGCCACGAGTTACATGGTGGTGCAGTAATTAGCATTTCTGCCTTTTGGTGCTGGGGCCCTGGGTATGGTTCCAGACCTGGGGTGCTATCTGTGTGGAGTTTGTATGTTTCCTTCAGGTGCACCAGTTTCCTCCCACAGTCCAAAGACAAACTGGCTTCTGGGAAGATTTTCCCTTGTGTGAGCGTGTTTGTGAGTCATCTAAGGTGTACCCTGCCTTGCACCCATTGATTGTTGGGCTAGAATCTGAACAGCAGAATTCACTGCATCATGCTGAGAAGGTTACTGAACCTCTTTATAGCCAGCAGCTACATATATCACCCTGCATCTGACAACTGGCAACCCACTGCTAAGTTAAGTAGCTAAGAAGCTGAGTAGGTGTGAGCCTGGCCAGTGCTTGGATGGGGAAACCTCCTAGGAAAGCTAATGTTGCTGCTGGAAGAGGTGTTAGTGAGACCAGTAGGGAGCGCTCACCCTCAGGTCTGTGTGGGTCCTAATGCCCTGTAGCGATCCATTAGATATGTAGCGTGTATCGGATAAGTTTCCCGCTTTGACCTGTTTAGACCTATTTGTTAAGTCTAGAACCCATCTCATCTTTTAGATTTTCTGTGCTAGCAAGAGTGGTTGTAATGTATTAAAAGTGGTTGTAAGAAAAAGGCAACAAGTAAGATTCTTATAAATATCTTTGCTTGGTCAACATGCTGTTGGAAATTTGTACTCCTTTCTGCACTCAGGTTTTAGAAATATTTTAAACTCTCCAAAAGTTCTCCAAAAGAGCTCCTAACTGTTACATACAGGACATACACAGACAGGACATGCGGTAGAGATGTTTAAGAATGTCACATGTGGTCACTCACCTTCTTAACATTCTTAATGATGTATAGACCCATTGATTAAATGCTACTTGGTCATTAAACACATCTTCCTGAATGGCAGGGAAAACGTAGCATCCAGCACAGCATTCAAGCAAATTTTAAGCCCACATTGCTGTTTTAAGTTGAAACTACTATAAGCAGCTTCATTAATAAAGAGCTGTGCTAGAATGGAAACCACGAAGTACAGGGATACTAGTTTTCCCTCCATTGCTGTAGGCCTTATTGAAGGCCTACTTCAGGAGTCCCCAATCCTGGTCCTGGAGAGGTGGTGTTTTCTAATTTTTCTAGGTTTCTTCAGATCGTCAGCACCTGATGAGCTTCAGGAAGCTGTTAAACTGGTCAAATGAAGCCAATAATGAGCTGATTAGTTGACGAGCCTATCTGGACTGAAGACCTGGAAACAAATGGGCCCTCCAAGAATGGATTTGCCCAAGCCTGATCTTTCTTGCTGAAACCTGCTGTAGGGGTGCTGTATTTGTTAAATTTCTTCAGGCTGGAAAAGCCCTGGGACACTTGTGACCAAGCATGAGGGGACAAGAAACATGTTTACATGCAGTTTATTTTTAAAAATAAGACTGCGATTAATTTAGCACAAGGGTGCCCAATGTCCTTTTTGGAGACCTAATAAGCCAATAGACTGTGGCATTGTGGTTAAAGAAAGGGTTTGAAAAGAGAAGGTTCCTGTTTAAGAAGGAGGCTCGGCATCTTCCGATATATTCCTCATGACCTGTGAATATTTAGAGTATTGTATATAATGTTGCTCAAATTGTACCCCAAACTCTGTAAAGTACCCTTATATCCTTCTAACGGTGAAAGTCATGATTATGGACATTCTGATTTTGGATCCTTCTTGGAGATGGAACTGTGACCATATTACTACGGCATTTTGGATAAAGAAATCTCTAAGATGTATTATTATTTCATTCTTTATACTTAGTGGAAATGATTTTATTTTGACCAATAAGTTATGTTGCTAATTAGGACCTTAATTATCCAGTCCTACCAATTTTAGCTTGATAGTGGACTTTCAAAAGGCAGACTTCCACAGCGTATTTTGTGTTTTCATTTCTATCTTAAGTGTTTGCCCTCATACATATTTTTGGTATAATATTCTACTCCTTTATCTTTGTCAATCAAGGTGTGCACCTTTTTCTTCTACCTTGACTTCACCGCTGTGCTCAACAAACCTTTCATTATCTCAGGACGTTTTGACATTTGAATTGTACTGCTGGGTAAATTTCAAATAATAACTCTTTAAAGGGCATTCTAATAACCAGTGGATGCCCAGACCTGAAATAAAACCCTTAAATGTGAAGTATATATGCAGCTGAGTGAAACCCATTTCATCTTTCTTCCTGCTCTGATTCAGAGGTGGACTGGAGTCAAAGCTGTCTGATGACGAGTCTTTCCTACCATCAAAGGTATGGGCTTTGTTTGAGCTTATTTTTAAGTTTGCAGATGTCTTTTTCCAAGGTAAATCATATGAAGTCCCACTAAAATATTCATAAGCAACCGTAGCAGTTAGTGTTAGAAATAGAGTAGCATCACAAAGCTGTTTCTATGACCAAATGAAATAAGAAATGTTTAATTCAAGGGGAAGAATGAGGGTGGGGTAATGGTCAGGATGTGGGACTCTGGACCAGAAGGACCGGGGGGTTCAAATCCTAGGTTGGAATGTTTCTGCTGCATCATTGATCAAGATGCTCAAATTAATATAATGTATCTCTGGGTCAACATTGTGCACGTGCCCTCTGTTGTACTATGTGGTCAAATAAAACAAAGTACAAAGATGCTTCTCCAGTCGGTATCAGGCAGTGGAGTTCTGCTAATGAATTGGCGTGCTAGGGGTTAGACAGCTCTTAAGACTTGCAATTGCAGTCTGGAACAAAAGTCCAGAGAGAGCACTGATAGGTGATGGAACAGTCCTGATGTCCTCAGGTAGCTGGTTCTACTAGAGAGGAGCTAGTCAGTGAACCTGTAATTGAAAGATCGAATTCAAAAATCAAAATTGTCATCCCTGATTGTTCACCCATGTGTTAAGCTATGCTTTTTCATATTTAGTTTCTTCTTTGAACCATTGACAAATTAGTATCTACATCATGAAGAACCTCCCACTAGAGGAAATGTTTTAGAATTCCTGAAGACAACTCTTCCCAGCTTTACTCCTGCGGCAGTGTCCGATTTTGTTTCTTTGCAAAGACAAAATTGCCTACTGCGTTGTAAAAATCCTGTCTGCTACCTTAAAAAGCAGTAGGCATTTTGATACAAATATTTCACAAGTTAATGCCATTACAGTATGGGGAATCTTTCTGTTCCTGTAAAATCCTGGGCCAGTTCACTGCTGTGCAGGTCTGTGATTAAGAAGTGGTACTTGAAACAAATCCAGAGGTCTGGATGAAAACTCATCAGCGGCTCACCTTGATATCTCTCCCCAGAGACCTACAGTCTGCACCGACATGGTATCGCGCTACGAGTCAGAGTTTCTGGAGCTGGAGAAGATTGGAGCGGGGGAGTTTGGAGCAGTGTTCAAATGTGTCAAGAGACTCGATGGGTGCCTGTACGCCATCAAGCGCTCCAGGAGACCACTGGCTGGATCTGCAGATGAGTGAGTGGAGCCTCTCTGTGGAGCCTGTACAGGCCCTGTCTAGCAAAGCTGTAGTAGGACAGGGGTGTCCAATTCTGGTCCTTCTGGACTGTGGGTTTTCTAGGTCTGCTTCCAGCTGAAGAGCTGGCATAGGCTGTTAAATTGGTCTTATTAAAGGGGAACTGCTGTCCCAATTTCTCGGTATCGACGTTAATTCACTGTATCTGAATTCAGCACAAATTCTTGAACAATTTAAAAGTACTTTTTGGTCACAATCATAACAATGTTGTTTCAAACCGCTAGTCTCGACACTGGCAAGGAGAGTATGCGCAAATTGCGACTTGAATCAGCCCTTCCTGCTCACTAGTCACTGTAAAGACTAATGTAATGTGATGTACAAGTGAATAATCGGGCATTGTGCCACAGAAATGTTCTAACTTGATCTGCATACTGAGTTAACAAGTAAGTTCTGTTTGTCAGCAAAACCATCTTTAAGTCCGATATCTCTATTAGATTAAAAGAGATGTAAGCCTGCTTCTTTATAATTTAATAGGGCAGTTTCACATCATCGGATGTTTGGTTCCCTCTTTCTGAATCACAGAATATAGTACTGCGCATACCTGGGAATTTTAATCTATTTTGTGATGTAAATTGGAGGTTTTACAAGTTACTGCATACATTTTTTTATTGTGGTTTGAAATTCACTCATCAATGGGTTTTTTCTAACCCTGAAATATAAAACTGGTGTTTTATTTAAAGGATTAAGATTGAAATGGCCTAATTTAAGGCCTTCAAAACTGGATTGTAATGACCGGAGTGTATTTATTTGACTAAAAACCCAATTTAACATTTTCTTCATTCAATTCTTCATTAATAATGTAGTCAGAATTATAGGTTAAAAAACAAATGTAATTTGATAACTTTCACTTCTTAGGAGTTGAAACATATATAATTAAACAAACTATTAAAACAGATCTAAATAAACAAATTATTAGCTCAGTTAAGCTTCCAACCTGAGCAACTGGAAGTCCAGCAGGATTGAAAACCAGCACACGCTGGGGTCATGGTATACAAGATTGGGAAGCAGTTATGAAATAACTAGAACTGAACCCAGACTGACCTGCCATGCTAACTGAGAGTCACGGTGATCCATTGAGAAAAGGTTTGGAATTGTTAGAAACAAATGCATATTCAACATCTGGGCAAATGTTTTTTTTTCTTATTTACAAATAGAAGAATGTTTTATGTCTTATTTATATTTGCTCACATATTCTCACAGCAAATGATATAATCAAGGACAGAAGGCCTCACTCATGGTCACAAGTGAACAAGCATATTTACAGTCCAGCTGGGCTCTTTACAGCCTTAATGGGCTTATTAGCTTAAGTGTATAAATTTATTCCCATTCCTCGTCGTACTGCTTTAAAGAAAGAGTAAATCTGAAGACGCCTCGTCCAGGGGATGTCCCAAAGATTGTCAATTCGTTATTGAAAATTGTCTGCTGGGCTCTTTGGGCCTGACTGCTTTTGAATCAGCCCGTTTTAGGGTTGCCACCTAGTGGCTCACGGTAGGTTAGCACAAGCAGAACATGAGTGAGGTGTATAAAACTTAGTCAGGTCGCAGTTTCCAAGTCCTGTAGAACCACAGTAGTTCCAAGTTAGAACCTCAGTGTTTTTGTTTTCATTATTATTATTATTATAAGGTTAACCATACTACTTGATTAAATTAATCATACACATCTTCATGAAGCCATTTTATTGTCTGCTGCAGTGACGGATTAAGGTGATCAGAGGCCCCTAGGCTACACGTCGTGTAGGCTCCACCCATCCCATTACCAGAAAAAAAGCGAGAGAAACTTCTGTAATAATTCAATGACGCATTCGCAGTAAAAGCCTGCTACCTTTGATTCAAACGGAATGTAATGCAACACACGCAAGGGAACACACACGTACACAGGGAGCCCAAATACACACACAAAAGCCTTTAATGTAAGTACAGCAATGCAACCAATAAATCAGATTCACAGCCAATCTGCTGACATCAGAAATTGTGCGCACGCTTACTTTGAAACCGAAGATACACAACAACAAGATCAGCACAGCAGAGACCAGTGACCACCCTGTTTGAGCGCATTATTTCAAGAACAGCAGGACACTCCCAACTCATTCAAGTCCACTGCAGCCAATAGACTCAAATCAGTCAGTACACTGCATGGACAATTAGATATTTTTCTATATGGGCTTTCAAGAAGGGATCAAACTCGCCAATAACTTCGAGGACTCCCATGAAGTTCCCATTGTCGGGGCGCCTGAACGTTCCGCTGTGTCCCCTAAAAGGCCGCCCTCGCTCTGCTAAACACTTCACCACTGCAACCACCCTTTTCAAGACCTTAGTCCAATACTCATATTCATTGTCAAACTGTCTTTTTAGTTCTGAATCCATTGGACCATTATCAGCACAGCGCATAACGTATGCAGCCATAGCCTTTCTATGGCTCTCCGACACCTCGTGTTTTTCCAGTCACTATAGCCTGCGGTCAGTCCGGACTGATTATCACCGTCCCCAAATAATTTACATGCGAAACGAAACACTGCACCTTTCGATGGGGAATACGGCATCTCTTGACACACTCGCCATTTCCGAGTTTTCTTTTGAAGAGGGTTTTTGAGAAATACCTCTTTTGGTGTGTATGTTGTCTTTCCGATGCTGCAACTTCTGCGTCTTGGTTTTGACACGATTTCGGGACCAGTTTAGCCGGTATGCCCGCATCTGTTCATCTGTTTTACCCCCAGCATGCTGGGTCCGAGCTATAGGAAGCGGGAGCTGCTGTTGCAGCCTCTGTTAGCTCCACGGCAGCAGGTTCAACAGCCATGGCGGCGGCTCGGACACGGCTCGTTGGTCTTGTGGAGATGGTGGTGGCGTTTCAGATGGCTCTGCCTCCGACTCGTGCTCCTGCGATTCCGTTGCGGGAGCTGCTCGTCCTCATGAGCGGCTTTGACATAGACTGCGCCCAGGCTAGAGCTCGCTGCAGCTCACTTTTCAGCCACGGGTTGCAGGAGCACTGGTTGCAACGTTAGCCGTAAAATCAGGATCGGGGTCCGGCTCAGCAAACCTGAAATAACTGTGAAATAACACTATCATATTTTCTCTCGCACATTTTGTGGCTGGGTACCGTAAACTTGCACCAGCAATTACCCGATGAATCTGCCAAAATAAATTTGAACTGCAAACCCACTGCACCTAACCAGTCATTGGTTCACAAATTATTCAACGTTTTTATGGACTAATGGGGCCCCACAGGTCCATTTAAAAAAATACTCTGGCTAGTCAGGGGCCCCTGATCAATCCGTGGCCCCTAGGCTACAGCCTATGCTAGCCTGTTCGTTAATCCACCCCTGGGCAGCTGCAAGGCATTTTACCTAAAGAATTTAAAAATAAGTAAGAGATTATATTTAAAAAAATCTTACAAGTTGAGGCTTAAATGAATTTTTCACAGATGTGTTGAAGATACTGTTGGTCTCTAGGGTTGGATTGAGGGGCCTTGCTCTACATCAGGCTTGCCCAACCAGTCAATCGATAGCAAGGCTGTTTAGGAAAAAATAAATGGGCTATTTGACTGTTTACTTTTTTGTGATAGCCTAAAAATTGATTCAGATCTGTGCATGTAATGTCATACATTTTACTGCCCTTGTGTGTGTTTAACCCTTGTCAAATGGGTTGTAAAAGTCTCTTTGCTGAGTGCTGGCTGACACTGGGGGGGGGAAGGCTACAGGAGCTCTGTAAATAGTGTTGTGTGAGCTACCAAAGAATTTTCTCTTGGTTTTTGCCTCACGAACCCCATATTCACTACTGTGCATAGTGGAGCCGCAAATTCGCAACAGTTTGATAAGTTTAATTGCCTATTTGATAGTTGTAGTGTTCGAAAACGATGAAGCAAAGAGACCGAAAACTTACCGTTACCACAAGGAATGGGAGCATGATTTTTGTTTTGTTCTTTCACACTCAAATCTGCAATGATAGCATCTATGTGAAAAAGGGAAATATAGAACAACATTTCAAAACCGCACACAAAACATATGATGTGGACTTTCCCGCTAATAGTGAGTTACAGAAAAGAAGTAAAGTGGAAAAATTAAAATCTCAACTAGCAGCAGTCGGTTTTCACAAGGCCTAATACAAGAGGGAAAACGGCAATCATCTCATCGTTCCGTGTGAGCCACTTCCTGGCTGAACACAAAAAGTCATTCAGGGATTGAGAAGTTATTTTTAAAAAAGCGTTTGCTGTGGCTCCTGACTTGCTGTTTGGAGATTTCAAAAACAAACGCGAGGTTCGGACAGCTGTTTCCTGAAATCAAAGAGTTTCTCAAGTCATCTAAACATGGTAAATATGCCCATTAGAGGATGACCAGTGGCTTCTGGATTTAGCATTCCTCACAGACTTGACTGAACTGCTGAATGTTGAGCTGCAGGGACAAAATAAAAATGTCATCGACATGATCAGCAGTGTCAACACGTTAAAAAAAATGTTCTCAAGTAAGCTTCTCAGTGCCTTACATTATAAAAGGTTGGGCACCCTGCTCTACATGAACGGTTTTGCAGATGGAATAATACATTTCACCTTTTTTTGTTCCTTCTCTTCCCACTGTGGTCCTTCTGCTGTCCTGTTGCTAGGCAACTGGCCCTGCGAGAGGTGTACGCGCACGCCGTTCTTGGCCATCACCCGCACGTGGTGCGCTATTACTCCGCCTGGGCCGAAGACGACCACATGATTATTCAGAACGAGTACTGCAACGGTAAGACCAGAACAGACCCGGCAGAGTCTTGGAAAAAGCAGGAGAGTCCGAATAGTCTAGTCAGGTGCTGCTTGTGCAGCGTTTCCTGTTACCCAGAACCAAACCAGACAGTTATACCACCGCATAATCGTGGATTTAAAATTCCTGCTGCTCTGCATTCCAGTTAAATCAGCCCTGTTATCTAAAGTTAGATTGGGAATTACTGTTACACCACACTCGTTGACAGATTTTTTTTTTTGTCCTTGTTTTTCAATTTTGGGAAAAGCAAAAAGGTGGCAATTCCACAAAGCACTTCCAGGTGTCTATACATTCAGTTGGCTTTATCATTAATGAAGTAATACAAAGGCAAAACAAACTTTCAGCTGGTTGAGTGACTTAGGTGATTTCTGCTGGATCAGTCAATGGGAAATATTCTGCAAGCAGAGCAGACTAAGCCAGCAAAGAAACCACCTATCAAATGATACAGTGGTTTTGTGAAACTGATGAGTACAACATTGGCGGAGGGGTTGGCCAGCTCTGGACCTGGAGAGGCACAGTCCAGCAGGTTCTATGGATGACCCTAAGGTCGTCAGTTACTAAACACTTGAAGCAATCTAGTTTTCTGCCTCCAAAGCTGGTGATTTATCACCTGTAGCTCTCAAGGACTGCAGTTGGCCATTCCTGACTTAACTGTATCAGTTGTGTAAGAACAGGCTGTGGAGCCTTCAGTGCTCATTTGCGTAAAATACTTAATTAAATTTCCGAACAAGAGAAGGAGAGTTGTGAATTGTGACGTGATGTAGCCTTCCTGCCCGCTAGTCACTGTAATGACTAATGTAATGCAATGTACAAGCGATGTTAATCAAGCTTAAATTTTTACACAAAGTAATTAAGAACTTAAAAGGTTATCCATACCTGCTACTTGAGGTGCATTAAGTTGGCAACTTGCACTTAAATACAGTAGGCTGTGTTCTGTGCTGACAGGAGGAAGTCTTCATGATGCCATTATGGAGAACACTGCCCAGGGGTGTATATTCCGGGAGATGGAGCTGAAGGACATCCTCCTGCAGGTGTCCATGGGACTGAAGTACATCCACAGCTCCGGCCTTGTGCACCTGGACATCAAGCCCAGTGAGCCCCCCTCTCACGCTGCAGGAGAGAGCCGGAACAGGCTGTTTTATTGGAATCTCCAAGAGCAGCCTAAGTGCATTCTAACATGTAGGATCATTGAACCTGTGGAAGAAAAACATGCCAGTGATCCTTTAATCCAGAGGAGACATTTCCAAATTAGGATACTAAACATAACGGAGAGGTTTACTTTAATGCATTATGTTTTGACTCTTATAAAAAAAAAAACTGTTGCAGCATAACTTCAAAACAAGTTGTCCCCAACTTACTCTGAACCTTTCCATCTTGGATGTCTTGTACACAGGGATGTTGATCCTGTTTTTTACATGTAAGGACCTTATTACATCTTAATTGTCTCTGTCGTGCCTCTCGTAAAATTACAGTTCCAGTACTTGAAACATCATCCCAATTTTAGTGAATGTTCATTCATACTTTTGCATTTATATTATTAATGGTAATCTAGAAAAGGAATAGGCCGTCTTTGAATTCCTCAGGGTCTTCCAGGTTTTATGTTTTATCTGAAGTAATACTTCCTTACACCTGTATAGTGCTTTTCATCCAAGATGATTTCCTAGCTACTCATGGGAAGGGACTTACTCCATCCAACACTGGAGTGCTGCATCCACTTGGGCAGTTATTAAGCACAGCAGCCCCACTGTACTACAGATTGGCTAAAGAAGTGAGAAAGTGCTTCACTATACTGAATTAAGAGGGCATTCAGGGTGGCCAAATTATATAAGTCCATAGCAGAATTTAGCCAGAACACCTGAAATAATTACTATGCAGGGCCAGCAACCCTAGTTTTTTGATAAGGCATCAATGGATCGTTAAGAACCCAGTACTTTAATTTAACATCTGAGCCGAAGGATAGCCCCTCTTTTGGCACAGTGTCCCCTTTTGCCATACTGGAACATTGGAAGACTGAATCGTCCAACAACACCAGCACCTCTTCCGGCACACACCTTTTTTCTAGGAAGTTTCCCTGCCCACTTTGACCAGGCTCAGTTTTCTTGAACACCCGAGATGTGACAGGATCTGGCTACACTTTGGCAACATTGCTGCTTGTTTTGTTTGGATTAGAAGTCCAGTCATGTATAGTTCTTAGAACTTGGTGAGATGCTAATTGAAACCTACCAGTAACACCTGCAGGTCTCTGTCCCTCAAAGATGGGAGATAGTAGAAGGAATACTCTCATATTCCTTTTCTTGTCGAGTTGTGAACAACAGTGCCAATTTTTTTAACTTGATTAATTTAAATAACATTTTGGAAGGTTTTTTTTTTAAATAGACTTGGGGGAAAGTGTCCTTGATTCATTGTCCCCTCTCCCTCTGCACTGCACACAGGCAACATCTTCGTGTGCCACCAGCCAGCCCCAGTGTCCAAGATTCAGGGGGGCGATGGGGAGAGTGATGAGGACGATGATGACAACTCCTCCGCAAGCATTATTTATAAAATAGGTGAGCTGCTCAACTGTCGCGTTCAGGAGAATAGACATGTAGAGAAAAAATAGCATCAGCTTTCATTTCCACAGAATTGTTTAACCCTAGCTGAGATCTTCAACTTGTTTCTAGAGAAAATGAAGTAGCACTGCTATTACTATTGGTGATTTTGGGGTTTGATACTTGGCACCGGTTATGATTTTGCATATATATTATTTTTAGCAATTCTGATTGCTGCCATGTTAAACTGCTATGCTCTGTCTCGCCCTGAATCAGAACTAGCATGTTCTCCGTTTAGCTGATGATTTATATTGACCTTGACCAATCTGAAATATTTTCTGAGGTCTTTGCTCTGCCTTTGCTGCGAATGCAGACAGTTGGTTGCCAGAGCTCCCCTGTTTCTCAAGGGAGCAGCAAGGGAGAAAGGAAATTGATTATATTCGGTCTTGAGTACAGGGAGTGGACTGGATCAGTCTAAAGCACACATGATCAAGTGTGGATGTTCCAGTACAGCCTTGAGTGCTTTCCCCTGAAAAAGTCTTGTTTGTGTGTGATCCCAGGTGACCTGGGTCATGTGACCTCAGTTATCAGCCCCCAGGTGGAGGAGGGAGACAGCAGGTTCTTGGCCAAAGAGGTCCTGGAGGAGGTGAGTCCAAAATAGGAGGATTTTCAACCCCTGAAGGACCAGCAAATTAAATGAAAGAACATTTAGATCAAATTCAAGACTGTGCAAAGACATGGCAGATGACATTTAATGTACATTAGTGCAAGATTTTGCATGCAGGTAGCAAAAACATAAAATATGAAATTAGATAGAAAAGTCTACTAAGTTGGTCATTATGTTACAGAAAAATTAAAACCTGATGCACTCCCAGGCTGTAGGAACTGAATCTTTTTAGTCATAAGCAGACAAGATTATAAGGGGACCCAGTACTACAGAAAGGCATTGACAAACTCAGCTAGACTTCTGTAACCAGTGAAACATGAGCCAGAGGACTCCCATAGAAGTGCCTTTAAAACTGCAAATGAGGACACTTTACCTAATGGCTGTGTAGCTTGTTCCAGATTTCCACAGCACATGTTGCTGAAACTTCCTTTTAAAAACGGCTGGATGAGAACCTTGGGTTAGTTGGCTGGTAATTTCAAAATTTGTCCTTACGAGTCATGAATCGTGTTCTCCCACCCCTCCAAATGTGAAAAGCCCCACAGTGCCAGCTTGCAGGGTGAAAAGGAGTGGGGAAAACATGAGTGTTTTCGGGGTTTGAATGGTGACCTGAGTGTGACTGGCTGTGGGTGTGTTAAGGCGACTAAGAGGCAGTTCTGGATTGCGAGTCTCGCCGTCCCTCTCCTCCTCAGGATTACTCTCACCTGCCCAAGGCTGACATCTTTGCCCTGGGCCTGACTATGCTGCTGGCCGCAGGGGCGGATCCACTCCCCCAGAACGGTGAAGAATGGCACCGCATTCGCCAGGGCCACCTGCCCGCCCTCCCCCAGGAGCTCTCGGCACAATTCCAGGGCCTCATCAAGGTCAGACTCTCCCCCAGCATCTTGCCAACTTCCTTCAGGAAGGGAAATACCAAGCTGTCCACTGGAGTGTGAGGCTCTGCTTTAATTAATACAGAGGGCATACAGTCCCTACCTTATGAGGCTCTTCTCTGCATGTGAAGGGGAAATCCCCAAAGTAGGAATTGGAACTTAAGAACTTAAGTCTCTTGATTATATTTACAAGGTTGCTGTTACTCAATCTTTTTTTTTTTTGCTTGCTTGTTTCTCTGCATTGACTCGCCCTGCGTTCTTATGAGTGGTCATTGAACCCTGCGAGCTGATTTTAGAGAGTCAAAAAGGCTGTGGGTGCTATCGAGATGTAAACAATCCCCATACAGAATAATATACTATAGTACACATTTCCAGATGCTGTACAACACAAATGTAACATTAATTACATAAATTGTCTTCCCTAGACAAGAAGAGTGTGCAAGGCAGTGTGCGAACAATAAGCGAGTCTGCACTTGAAATTGAACATTGTACAGATGTTGACCCTCTCATGTGATCCAGGAAGAACCTTCACCAGTAAAGACTTTAATAACCGAAGGTTTTGCCATCCCCAGTGTTCAGTTTTATTTTAGCCATGGGCTGGAGCAAAGCACAGATACATGTACTGTATATGGTGTGAATCTGGGAGTCTCGTAGTGCTTATGAGCTGTGTAGTTACAGTAAGAACCTAAAACTCTGAAACAGATGTTTGAGAACAAGCTGTGCTACTGAATTTTGAGTTGCCTGTGGCTTTGAGACTGAAGATATGAGCAACAACCAAAGTCTTAGTAGTATATACGAAATTTAACAAATATTAGAGAGCAAGAGTGGTAGAAGGTGACTCATTTTTTCCCACTGTGGTCTTTCATTGCTTCATTTCCCAGACAGAGAGAACAGTTAAAGGTGACTTTTTTTTTTAAAGAATCTGAAGCAGTGTGATAAAACCACATTGCATCACACAGTCTCCTGACAGGGTTCTGTACTCATCATGTCTTAACTGTACCCAACGGAAGTGCATTCTCTGAATTTGGAGCTAAAATAGATTTAGGTCCCAAACTGGGGTAGTTGTCCTTAGATCTATAAGTAAGTCTCTTTGTAGATAGAATTCTAAGATTCAGTGAATTAAAGAAATTTAACTAATCTGACAGTTAAGTCTCTATCTAGTGGGCGTAAAGGTTTCAAATGAAATTATTATTTTTTTAAGTATAAAAAATGTAACCCTCTGAGACAGAGATCTAGAACTTAATTTAGTTTGATGTATGTGTTGTTTATAACTTTGCAAAACTTCCTTTCTTTCTGTGGCTGTTAATCACGTATGAGGTTTTAAATGAATCCTGTAGACGTCATGCTTTCTCAGGGGAGTCCTTGTTGTGATTCATGTATCTCAAGCCAACCCACCTGCTTTTTAAGCAGTGCTGCCTTGACTTGACATTGTCCAACTTCTTTAATCACACATTACTATTAATTCAGGTGGGTAGCTGCGTCAGCATGCGTAGGCTGCAAAGGAACAAGTAATAGGTTTATTCCATGCTGGGAAAAAAAAGAAGAAAGAAAACACAACTTTACGGCCACACCTGAAGAAGGCTCCACGGCTGTAACATTGTTTTCTTTCTTCTTTTTTTCAGCATGGAATAAACCTATTACTTGTTCCATAACTATTAATGGTGATGAGTCTTAATACTTAGTAGGCTGTTAGAATGTGTTTTCCTCAGTTCATTATTAGCCTGGGACAGAGCAAGAGAGAGATGTAAGACGAAGCCACTATACAGCGTGTTCCATTGACCAAAAAATCAATAATTATATTCAATTGGATAAAAAATGCACTGTGTCCACTTTGCACATATTGTAGCATCACAGGGCAGATGCTCAGAATGGACTTGATCGCCCTTTACTGGGGATGTTCAGCCCAAGATCACTGTGCACTGGCATGTTGCATCAAAGGAGACAGCTCATACTCCTCTCGCGAGAAGACAGAAATACTGCTGGCACCCCTACATCCTGTCAAGCCATTTTTGGCCATTCACACACATAGGTACAGCATAAGAGCCTAACTCAAGGGAATATAGTAGGTACATTCCATACAAAATCACTGTGATCTTGACATGACCATCACATCCATTCATCCATTCTCTAACCCATCTTCCAATCCAGGTGACCATCATATTTTTTCCTGAAATTGGGCACTTTTGTCCTGTGGAAGAACGATTATCTCAAATAGTTTTCTAGATCTGCTCCTTTTTGGATATACCCAGCCTTTCTTGCAGATGTTGTAGCTTCCAATAAGAACCTTGCATATCCCAAAAATAAAGCATTAATTGTTATAAAATAACTAATCATGAAATTCCTTGACTTGTTAGCAACATGACTTTTACTTGTAATGACATCATTCATTAGAGTTTTTAGTGTTTCATTCGTCACTACTCTTGACCACTGCAGTCACATTCAGGTCCAAAATGTTTTGAAGTGCATCCTTTCAGGGTGAAAAACTTGGGCTTGGATATGTCAAACTCTGTGCTGTGGCTTTGGAAAAGTAGGAATACAAAAAATAGCAGCTAGACAACAATGGTAGGTGGCAGTCTTTGCAGTTAACATCATTAGCCTGATATGGTCATGTGTGATACAAAATGTAAAGAGTTGGGTGCCATTATCTCCAGCAAGCAAATATCTTGATCTAAATTCTATCTTTGAACTGCAAAAATCTACCCAGGAAAATACAACTTTAAAATTCATTTTGGTGTCCTTTAAATTGCATATTAAATGGTTTCTGGACTTTCCGCCCTATTATAGTGATTAAATAATATTCCCCGTCATCATTCTGCTAATGTAATCCCTTTTGTGTTAGTGTTACAGTGGTTCCTTTATTTCAGATCAGATTTCCCCAATCCTGTGTTTTTTCATGAGTAGAATCCCCTTTCTCTTAACCAAATTGACATTTATTATAAATGGTCCATCTTATTGGCAAGAGTGTAAACATTTGAACCATAGTTCAGGTGGGTAGCTGCGTCAGCATGCGTAGGCTGCAAAGGAACAAGTAATAGGTTTATTCCATGCTGAAAAAAAAAGAAGAAGAAAGAGAACACCTCTTTGTTCTCTTTCTTCTTTTTTTCAGCATGGAATAAACCTATTACTTGAACATTTGAACCATGTTCCTTTTCTTTGTATCAATCTCTTTTAAATGAGCAACCCCATCTATACCACAGTCAGTCTGTAGTTCCAGTGGTGACGGCTGATCAGTTTTGTTCTCGTTTCCGTTTCCCACAGCTTCACTTGGCTACATTGTACCAATCTTTGGTATACCTCTTCCTTATTGCAGATTCCCCAATCAGAGAGAGACACAAGTCATTGTTTGTTTTAAGCTATTGGCCAATCAAATTGATATTTTAATCTTGGAGACCATGGTGTAGAAGGTCCAGCAGTATTTTTAACATTATGCAAAGCAGTTTAGCTTTAGCAGTAAACAGGTTTGCAGTGGTAGTTTGTGGCCTGTTTTCTTATGATAAGATCTACTTATACTCGGTGTAGTACCTAAGAGTTACTACCGGTATAAAAGCTATCTCGGCAACCTTGGTTCTAAAATAATCTTCCTGGAATGTATTCTGCAAATTATTAAAATTTCTTCAGGCGAGATTTTGGGTAAAAACTAAGAACTGAAACTGCAGTCAAAATGAAAGTATGTATTCGGCGTGGAAGGGGAATTCATGTGTCAAACAGAAGAAGATCCTTCCGTGTACAAATGGGAAGACTCATGACAGGGCTTGCTCTTTCTCTGTTGTGTGCGACTTTGACAGTTGCTGCTGGATCCTGCGGCGTCCCTGCGCCCCTCTGCCTCGGCGCTGTGCAGACACCCCATTCTGAGGAAGGGCACCCAGAAAACAGCCGCCCAGCTTCTCAAGGAGCTCAACGTGGAGAGGTTCAGGACAGCCATGTTGGAAAGGTGCGTCAGGGACCAGCCCTGAGACAGGGCCTCACAAGAGAGTGTGTGGCTTCCTCACAAAACCAGACTTTTTTGTCTGTCCGGTAAAGGAGTTAAAAAAGGTGCCCCTCATTGCTCAATGTCTCTCAATGTCTAGGACCCTTTGACATGCCTAGAACTTTAACATGTGCATGTAGCGAATGCAGCAAAAAGAAAGAAATTGTGAACACTCTATCCCCACTTAAGTACATTTTTTTTTAAATCTACCCTGTTGAAAAACTTGCTTACCATGGTTTTGAAATAATACGTTAGAAAATAAGTTTCCCCTTTTATTCCCCAACACAGAAAACACTTTTCCTATCTGCAGCATGTCAAAGAAAATAAGGAATATGTGGAACTGCTTTGACATTCAGTAGATCTAACTTGTTGCTTAATAAATTATAGGAAATGTTTATAAAACTGTCTCCACCAGAGGGAGCCGTTTTCAGAATTCTCTGATGAAAACATGCTTTTGCAGCATTTTTTTTTTGCTACTTGGGCTTTTTTTGGCAACAACACTATAGCCAACTTTTGTGTGAACCGAATAGATTAAGAATGAACACTAGAAGATTTTACTAATGAGCATGCTGAAAGAATAGTGCTGTTTGAACATTTTGGACTTACTGAACAAATCTAGCCCTGTTTATAAAAAAAGAATCAATACATTGATATCTGCTGGTACTGCTGGATTATCATAATATCTTAATGTTATAGAATATTCAAAAGAGCCTCTGATTTTAGTTATATTTAAGTTGGTTAGAAGGAAGGCTTTAACCCAGGTGGTTGCTGTAGAGTTTCCGCCTGCCAAAATGAAGAAATAGATTGTGTGTTGAGATATGGTTGTATTAGTTTCATTATTACTGTTATTAAGATTTATTTTTAAAATAGCGTTGTTATTTTTGCTACTTAGATTTTAAAACATTGACAAAATCTCGTTCTTCTATGGGATAGTTAGCTCTAAGTGGCAATAATCATGTGGCTCTTATTGGTAGTTTTAAATGGTTAGTAGGCAGAGTTTTGGAAAGCATGTTAATTCCTAATTAAACCACCAGTTGATAGAGTTAAGTGATTCATCGTTCAAGTGCAACAAAAACAAAAGAAAAGGCATAGCTGTCCAGGGGGCTGTGGTTACAGACCTCTATTACTGTAGTGAACCCTTAATTGAACTGCTAATTTTCTTAAATTGACCCTCTTAACTGTTTTAAACCAGGGGTGGCCATCCCTGATCTTGGAGAGATATAGCCTAGCAGGCTGTATGGACACTTAAACTGCTGTTTTGATCACTGACACAGCTTTGAAGCAAAAATACCAAAGTCCCCCTACTCCCAAGAATCATAGTTGTCCATTCATGATTAATCACTTAAATGATTCAATTAGTTTAGTAAATTAATCAAAATCTTCATGTTCCAAGTCTTTACAAATCGATGAATTAAGAGTGACAAAGTTAATAGGTCATCACCCTGTGGGGATCGTGGTGTCTGCTGAGACAGCAGCCATAGTGTGCCAGTATGTTCACCACACACCAGCTATCAGTGGGGAGGAGAACAGAGTGATGAAACCAATTCATAGATGGGAATGATAAGGCCATGATTGGTAAAGGCCAGGGAAAATCTGACCAGGACACCAGGGTTACACCCCTCATCTATTTGAGAAAGGCCCTGGGATTTTTAATGACCATAGAGAGTCAGGACCTTGGTTTTACGGTTTCCTGTCCAAAGGACAGTGCCTTTTTCCTATAATGCCCCCATTGCTGTACTGGGGCATTAGGACCTAAACAGACTGCAGAGTGAGTACCTCTTCCAGCAGCAACCTTTGTTTTTCCCAGGAGGTCTCCCATCCAGGTACTGGCCAGGCTCACACCTGCTGAGCTTCAGTGGGCTGCCAGTGGTGAGCAGCAGGATGATATAGCTGCTAGCAAAGAGTGGGGTTCCAAATAAGCAGTGGTAGAAGCTATATGGGACATAAGCAGGGGAGTTGAGGAAAAGCGTGTTACTGCTATAGGTGAAACCAGTAAGGCCTTTGACAGGTTTCTCTGTTTTGAAGAAACTTGCTTCCCCTGGTAGTCTAGCTGGGACAGCTCTCCGCTGTCATAGTGCCACTTGCACAGAAACAATAGCGCGTGAAACGCACCCCGAAGTAGGACGATGGAATGAAGGGATCAGTACTCCTCGGGCTTCTCAGAAATGATTCTTTTCCACCCCCACCCTCTCCAGGGAGCTGAAGGAAGCCCGGCAGGCTGCCTCCTCACCGCTGCAGGACCTTAGCTCCCTCTGGCAGCTGTCCGACCACAGGGGCTCTGACTCGCGGCCGCGGAGGGTGGTGGGCGGAAAAGCCGTGCGATCCATGAGCTTCGGAGGATACTGACCGCGCTTCTCCCGTCACCTACTGTAGGTGAACTAGGTTGGTGAAGGGTTGAGTAGAGACAGGAACTGGGACAGGGGAGACCATCTTATCGTTCGCAGCTTAAAGTTTGGACGTTTTCCAGCAAATCTGATGTCAGCGAGGGAAGGATATGTGGTTTGGATGTGGGATTGGCATATATTGTTCCATTGATAACTTGGGATTCCATGACTGGCATCCATTCTCAAATGTCCTTTGTAACTGTTGGTTATCTCTCGCCCACACACAGTCTTGCCAGAAATCTGGGCCTGGAGAAGGGATTGCAAAAGAACAATTGGAAATGCCCTTTTGTTCCCCGCTCTGCTGGGAGGGGCGGGGTCACACATTACCTGGAAAGGAACTCCAGAAAGGAACCAAATGGATCTGCCATTGCATGTGATGAACAAGATAAACAGATACTGCTACCGTTGCTGATCTGTGGGAAAGCTTTTTCTGAAGTAGCAATGTTGAGCTCTATCTTAGTAGATGGTACATGTTTTTGAAGGCTAGTTTTGATATGAAAAGGAGTACAAAGAACCATGATTACCATTTGTCTCGAAGGCAAATGAATAATGTCCTGAAATGCTAAACACTTGCATAGAGCATGCTTTAGTACACCAGTGATACCCCTTACAAATTCTGTTCTGGTAAGTTCTCCACAATAAAGCAGAATCCCACGGTGTGCTTTTTACAGTGCAGGGTACTGGCCTCATATAGCACTGCTCATTTTCCAGTGAACTAGTCAGCGACGCTTGATAGCTTTGGTTGTACTCTTGAAATTTCATCAAGTACATTGGCCAAAAATGTTGCCCTTTAATTTTAAGTTTTTTTTTAATGTTCTTAATTACTGTTTAGTCATTTTTACTTATCCATTGTAAATAAAGTTTTAAGTGTTTTTATGCAATCCTGCTTGAGTAGTTTTCTTTTTTAAAGTTCAAATAAGAATATTGTATACCTGTGAATATTGTCAGCCTGCTGGGTTCAGCCAGAAAAATAGTATAGAAAACAGTATTATATAAAATATTATTAAAGCATTACATGGAAGCACAAAAAACTTAACACTCAAGGTCTAGTAGATTAATTGAATATTTTGAACATAAATATTGGTTTGTTAGGGGTTAACAGTAGTCATGGACTAATCAAGGATAAATATTAGTCAGTCCTTAGACCACTTAAACTATAACGTAGATGACGGTAGCAAGGTTTAACTAGAGTGCCTCCTATAGGTCAGTTATGCTGAGCTATGTAATGTGGCTGCTTTAAAAGGGATCTGCAACGCTATTTTTTTATAGTAGTTCAGGTGGGTAGCTGCCTCAGCATGCGTAGGCTGCAAAGGAACAAGTGATAGGTGTATTCCGTGCTGAAAAGAGAAGAAAGAAAACATTTCGGCCGTGGAGCATTCAGATGTGAGAAAAGACAGGGTAGCATAGGAGAACAAAAGCTGGGAGAGAGGAGGGGCCTGAGGAGGGAGCAGGGGACAGACAGGGTGGCCAACCAGGTAGTGTGAAGCCAGGATGAGTGAAGAGAGGTGTGAAATGAAACCTACAATGAATAGAGAGAATTTAGAAGAAAATTAGTCTGTCGTTGAGAGAAGGGGAAAGGTGTGATCCTAGCTGCAGGATAATTTAAGTTTCTGTAGTCTTTCCGATGTATGAGTTAGGAAAACCATCTTTGAAAATGCAGAGAGATTAGTACGATCATGGCTGTCAGAGGCTATCTTTTTAACCTCATAATAAAAAAAATCTGGATTAATGAGTGCATTTCAAATCGCAATAAAAGTAAAGTGAACATGGTAACTTCTAAAACCTCCAATTTCCATCACAAAAAAAAATGGAATTTCCAGGTGTTCTATTTACAACAAGGCAACAAAACTTCCGGTGATGTGAAGCAGCCATTTTACATTGTAAAGAATCAGGCTTGTGAATACATATTCTAATCCAATAGAAAAATTGCTCTCAACTTCCAGACGGTTTTGCTCTGTTAACTCTGCATGCAGATCATGTTGAAACATTTCTGCGGTGAAAAGTCTGTTGCACAATCTGTATTTATTCACTTGTACATCGCATTACATTAGTCATTACAGTAACCTGTGAGCAGGAAGGGCCCCTTCACAATGCAATTAGTGGGAACTCGCACTCTGATCTGTGGCAACACTAGGGTTTTACAACAACGTGGTGACTTTGTTACTTTCACTAAGTTCACGATTTGTGCTTATGAAATTGGTACATTTTTAAGCTGTCAATTAATTTATTTTGTTACTGAGATTTAGTAACTGTTCCAAGAAATTGGGACTCCAGTTCCCCTTTTAAATTTTCTGTGAAGAATTTGGGAGTTGGAAAATAGGTAATATTGAAAAAGACAGGTATTGTTTAAACATTGTTGGAAATGGTAACAACACAAAAACCACAATATTTACACACTTCAATATACAGCTGTAGCCATTTTCAGAGCTCATAAACACCATCAAGCTTTCACAGATTCAATTACTAACATTGACAATGGCTACCTAAGGCTCTTGGAGGTAGACCAAACTCTTTATCTGGGAAAAGTAAAATCTTTCATAAAAGAGTCCTCTTTAGTTAAGATCACTTAACCTTGGCCCCTACACAAAGATGCTTCCAAACAGAAACTGCCAAAAACATTGCTGGGTGGGATTGAGAAGGAAATAAAATTCCACCTACTGTATATGGGAAATAGTTCCTTTGCTTATATTTAATCTGAGTTCCTCCAGAGTCAAATACCTGACAGGTTTCTGTTCATTAATGAGGACACCACCTGATGGAAATTGTCTAGTGCTGGAACTTTCACTCCTCTCTCTTCTCATTTTGCTCCTCCTCTAATTACAATTTTAATCGCCTGTATTGGCCTCTAGTCCCCAACACTCATAAATGTAAAAATAAATTACCCTCTTCTAAGCTGTAGTGTGCTTGTCTCATTAGATAACCCTAAAATGTCAAAGCGCATCAAAAGATCTCATCCTCCAGCTCTTAACTGAAATTGCTACAGTGGCATTCCTTTATAACACTTTCACTGTGTAATTATTTTAAGGAGTGGTTCCCCAGATGTACTGTATGAATTCTCTACCAAAAGCACTGTCATTTGTGTCTAGGAGTCTGTATTTTGCCCACCCCACTACCTTTTCTTCCTTGACAATCATATCTGATACATTTATTTATTGAAGAGAATAAAAATGAAATACATCAATATTTCATCAGCCTCTTCCCTGCTTCCGCCTCCTCCCCTCTCCCCAGATTTTGTTCTATGCTATTTAATCTTTGCTGTCTGCCCTTTCTCACACCTGAAGAAGGCTCCACAACCAAAATGTTGTTTTCTTTCTTCTCTTTTCAGCATGGAATAAACCTATTACTTGTTCCTTTGCAGCCTATGCACGCTGATGCAGCCACCCACCTGAACTACAACAGTATCTGTTTTCTAAGTAATCTGTGAGGTGTTAGTTTTAGAACTAAAACCAAGACCTTATAAATTAAAACCTAAGTGTGTTTGGTGACTGAGTAGAACTGATTTGCCTCTAGACTGCATTGGGGTGATTGAAGCCAACGGGTAAAAGTCCTGCTGATGGCTTTGGCAAGATGTCCACTCAGATGTTTTGTTGGATAGAAAGGCAAAATGTTGGCCACAGTGAGACCTTGACATTGCTTTCCTGAAGTAATGTCTCTGTAATCTATGATCTTGCATTGTCACAGTGGAAAATTAATACTTCCAGATGTCTTACAGAAGCAGAAACAGTTTGCTCATGGACTTTGTTGATGTATCACAGACCAGTAAAGCCCTGAATACTCACCAACAGGATGTTTGTGTTAAGAAGAATTCCTCCCCATCAGTGAGCTTGAACTCAATCCCAATGAGGAAAACTACTCAACCAACAATCCAATTTGCTTGTAATTTAAAACATAGATAATCACACACAAACAGCAAAAATCAGAATCCAGCACTGAAGAAAATGAGTGAAGACAGAAGAGACTGACAATTAACCTGCACTTTTCATTGGACTCTAAAGCCCACTCCTATTTATCTCCCTCAAAAACAATAGTGATTTACAGGAGAGCACCCCATCTATGGGAGAGAACCCCATTTGTCCAAACTCTATTGGTTCTCCAGGGTTCCTTTCATTCACATTACCTTCCTCCCCTGTGTGTGCTCTGTGACTGCTGCATGTTCAAACTGTTCAATCGCAGATACAGGAGAATGGTCAGGAGGAACCTAACAGTTTGTATGTGCCTAATGAGCTATTGATACAGAACATAGATTGGTGCATTTTTATTGTGTACCATTATTAATACTATGTTCACATAGTTCATTCCTGTTCAACATTCCTTCACTAAAGACAATCAGTGGGATTCTGTCTTGAATTGGTTTCTAACATAGAACAGAAATATATTTTCTGTTTGTATAGACATATACTGTATATACAGTAATTGTTGTCAGAAGATGCAACTAACAAGGAACGAAGTGAAATATTTCTGTAAATAAGGTTTTATAATAGAGAATCAATTTTGTTTTGAAACTCTTGGACTATAAAAGCAACACAGAGTAGTGGTTAGGAATTCTTGGGTTGAAATCAAAGATTGGGTATTGTTGTTGTACCCTTGGAAAAGGTACTTTACACACATTGCTCAGGTAAGACCTTTGCTTTAGAAATGGGCCTCGATGTTAATGAGAATTTGTTTTACATTAACTAAAATGTAAAATACAGAAATAAAACAAGTTACCTGAAAGTAGCAGTGGTGATCTTAGAGGTTTGTTGAACTACCACAACAAAGAAAATGAAAGGTCTGTACTTCGGGATTGTGTATTGGAAGACCTCCTTACCATCCTTTTGAAAAGAGATGAACAAAACAGACAGGCTCTGAGCTTCTCGTGAACTGATGCTGTGATGCTTGAAGTTACAGGACACCAGTGAAAAAATATCAAGAGAGAAATGAGTATAGCACTTCCTGAGTTTTTTTATTTTTCTGCATCTGTGTGTAAAAGACAATAAGTCTTTTATGTGCTTTCGAAGTGATCAGAGCAAATGGTTAACCACAACCTAAAACGTCAAAAAGTATGTCTAAATTGCAAAGTTTCCTTACTGAAAACATTTGAATGTTTTCTGTAGGTCTGACAGAAATGTGAGCACTGTCAGAGCTGAAGCAAAGTGCATTATCGGTGGGCTCAAGCTCTACTGATGAGAAAGTTCCATACTCTCTGATTCTTAAGAATTGTAGATGGAAGCATTAGCACCTAGTATTATTGAACCACTAGAGTAGTTTCAATACGATTGCTAAATTGAAATGAGCTCAGTAAACGGAGCTTGAAGAGGTTTCACTGGAATACTTGTAGCTTAACTAACCTTTATTACACCCAGCGTGTCAGTGCTTAACACGTCTGTGTCTGTGGTTGCATGGGGGTTGTTTTTAGCAGAAATCTCCCTATTCAAAGTGCTACTCGAGAGTAGATGCTCTAATATTAGGCTGTTTGCGATTGAAAGTTTTCAAGTTGAAACTCTCAGAATAGCTGAAGATAAAGTGTAGTCATCTTCTACTCCTGAACCGGATCTTTTTGTGAACTATTTTTTAATTGTGTAATAGCATACCACAAAGAGAGTACAGTAAGAACGTCTAACCCTAACACCACCAGCGGAAAAACCCTAATCCCAGTCCCCAAACCTTCCTCCTACTCCAACCTCCACCACCTAGGAAGGCAAACTGGCCCATACTCACAAATGTATATCATGAAAATTCCGTTTAAGAACTAGTATAAAAAAAACTAGTATAAAAGGAAACGGCTAAAAGAAAGAACACTCAAAAAGTTAGAAAAAGAGGGAAAAAATAATCTATAAAAAGCTACAGGAGAATTTCTATTGCAGACTTCCAGGGGCAAAGGGTCTAGTCTCCAGCCCCATGATTCTGGACTGTGGAAAGGTCCAGAAACAAAACATCCAAAAAGGACAGGGCCAACTGACACTGGGGGAGAGTAGCTGAAGATTGCCCATGCAGAGCGATCTTCTTGGCTCCTGTGGTAGCTGTGAGGCAAAATTCTTTTTTTTTCACTTTCAGTAAGGAACCATCATTCAGTAGAAGTAGCTGTGGGAAAAAAGAGGATGTTTCTTTTAAGTAAAATAAAGTAGAACAGGACATTCCCAAACCTGATGGTAAAAAGTTCCCTCCACACCCTGAGGACATCACATTGGATTATAAAAGAAAAAAAATATGTATAATGAGAAAATTACAGATGTATTAAAAGTAGGTAGCTCGCTGGGGGGAATGTCTCAACCAGAAGTGAAAATATTTCAAGTGTTAATAAAAACTGAAAGGAGTATTGTGTGCTGGGTGGGTATACTAGTCTTGCCAATATGGATTATAATGCCATTTTAACATCCTGCATCAATGCAGACCAGTAAACAATGAGAGCTCTCTGATGACTTCCTCTGGCCATGTGCTGATTTGACTCTGCTGTGTCTAGAGAGCTAGACAGTTTGCCAAGTCCAAGTCAGTTTGGAGGATTATTCATTGTTCTCATGAACTATCAACAAATGGGAAGCCTGTTGCTAAGGCAGACTTGGGGCATGAGGATGACAGAGATCAGTTGTGGTGAGATTGTGTGGAACTGCCCTGCTTTTGACTGTGTGAGTCAGGGGATCTTAGCACATACAAAATAACACTCCAAAAATAGCTGTATTTTAAAGTCATGCAGGTTTCCTGACTTTATTTTTTTTTAAATGTTTTAAGAAAATAAGCCAAAAAATCTCTAAAAACAGCTTAAGAAGCTTCTCCGAAATAATAGTAATATTGGTTTTAGAGAGGGTGCCTAACACCACTCCTCTTCAACACTGCTACTGCTAATGCAAACCAAATTTCACTCAACACCCCTCAATCCCCTCATTATCTCTTCAAACATACAGTAACTGCCTCAAACTAGACCCTTATACAGACAAACAAGCCAACAATTAAACCATATGAGTCTGCATCTTCCAAGCAATTAAGTTACAATACCATGCTTAACACTAGGGAAGATGTGTTCCACAAAAGTACTGCTGTGACATTCAGTGCTAATAGAAATAATTATAGCAAAGGTCTAATGTGGATGTGGTCTCAGGAGCATTTACTGTACATAAGTGATGTACAGTATGAGGGCTTCATTTGGGTATTGGTAATGATGTACATTTTTCAAACAGAATGGAATTCCTATTTTAAACTGACTACAGAAGAAACATTTGGCTGTGCATCAATGCTTACGCAGATTAAACACTGTCTGCCTTCTCCCCCAATTTGGCAGTGGTGAGAGACTGGTGTGAAGATGTATTTTTCTTATTAATATTATTTTTCTTATTATATCAATATTATTCTTTTCTTATTAATAAGAAAGACAGGTGAGAACACAATGGAGCACAACACAAACAGAGAAGCAGAAGAGCAATTACAAATGGCCTTGGCCATACAGTTGAGTGCACATACATATCCTTATTGGTTTTACAGAGGGTGCAGTCTCATTGCCTGAGAGCTTGCAAGCAATTGCACATTGCGTCTTGCCTTTAGCACAAATAGCGGCAGGATGGACAACTATAGGCTGCAATCTTTGTACTTACACCTGGCCTTTATGTGCATGACAGACAAACAGACATCCTGCTCTTATACTGGTACTGTATATAGGAATAACAAATACAAGGACAATGTATAAGGACAAAGAGCACTAGAGCAAATCAGTGCTAAGTAAAGGCATTGCTGTATTCAATTATACAATCAGTGACTAATACACACCAGGTCAAACTACTGTACATTACAAACCTTTTTGAGGCGGTAGTTCTGGCAGAGCTATGATTGTTGCAGTCCTTCCATTTGACAACCTGCACTGGTATCGATCAATCAGTCACCCCAACTCTTTTTCGAGAAGCACTCCTGGGATTTTTAATGACCACAGAGAATCAGGACCTTGGTTTTACATCTCACCCAAAAGACAGTGCCTTTTTTACAGTATAGTTTCCCCATCGTTAGGCATTATCACCCACACAGTCTGCAGGGTGAGCGCTCCCTACTGGTCCCCCTAACACCTCTTCCAAGAACAACATTGGCTTTCCCAGGATGTATCCCACAAAGGTACTGGCCAGACTCACACCTGCTTAGCTTCAGTGCCTTGCCAGCCTGTCAGCTGCAGGTTGATAAGGCTGCTGGCTCAAACATGTTTTTTGCTGCCATTACTCTGCTATGTTGATATACCAGTGAAACAAGGAAAGTACTTGGTTAGTTTTCATTCCTGATAATGGGGGCTGTGGTATTTGATATTTAAAATTGGTGTCAGGATTATTTTGATTTTTACCTTAATAAAGTAAATAAAGTAATAAAGTAAAAGCTTTATTACAGTATAGTGCCTCCTACACAGAAAAAAAATAAAATTCAAGAGGGTTATACAGTTCATTATCTCTGAGTCATTGGAAGCATTTCTTATTTTCATCATGTCCTGCAGGCCTGCAGGAAAGCACACTGGTCTCTTGAGATTATTTATTACAAGGCGGGAATGTCCGAGACACCGCATGACAGATGTTCTGTAACATACAGCTCACCCATCCTGTTTTAGCTATTTGTATACTGAAAGAGGAGGTATTAGAATTGGCAGGATTCTTTTTCCCTGGGGAATACCATTGTACCCGATACATGCCTTTGCTTGATTTTTGCACACTACAATCACACATTTTTGTTGAGTGCATATCACTGTTCCTTCTTCAGAATCCTGTCCATGAGTGCAAAATACTGAGCCTCGCAAACATCCCAATGTTGGGATGCAGGGTCGTCTCTTCAAAGAGTTTTGGTAACTTCACAGTACATGACCATGGACATGCATGTTTTTCCTTAACAATCGTTTGTGGGCTAGTTAATGGCTCTCCACATTTTTCTCTCCATATGGCCAGAAGGTGAACCGATTACTTGGCATATCATGTTTAGCAACATATCACAACTGTTCTGGTCAACTGCAGTCCTGGAGATTTATATAGTGGTACACTGACACTGTTTAATTAGGTCAGAAGGATATTAACTGAAAATGTATTTTATCAGTTCATACACATATTGAATATATTGTTATAGATACAGATGTTAGATGCTTACCAATACATTTTATGAATTTGCCCCAAGTTGACCGATATGCAAGACTGAGGCACTGAGTCAGCTGAACTGACTCGGAAGGTACAGTAAGTCACTGGGTGATAATGTTTAGGGAAAGTTGCTTTTAAAATGTTATCCATTACAGTTACATGCGTAAGGGATTACCAATTAAAGTTAACAAGAACGTGGGCGGAAATATTTTTTTTAAAACTCTTCAGTTAACAATGATCCCTGTATCATGTATAGTTACTATGTAAAGTAACATCATACCTCTTAAAAGCATGTTCCCCCGACTTCTGTTTAACTGAACAAGTATTCCCTTTCACAAGTAATTGTATTAAAAGTTTATTTCTCCAGCACCAACAGCAGCATGCCATATTTTCAAAGCTTTTGTAAAAATGTGGTTTGTTTTCTATAATCCAGTAAAATAGTAAGATGGGGAAATCCTATTTAGTCGATTTTACTATGCCGTCTTGTCTCTTATCAGATTTGCAATTTTTGTAATGTGAAAACTCAGAAGTATGTTTTGCTCTGGAGTCAAAAGTGTTGTAAATCAACATGTCAGTGTTCGTGCCTTCTGCAATTAACTTACCTTCGACATCATGTCACTGTCTGTCACCAACACCTAAAACCGAGAAGCATGATGTCAACTCAAATGAGTCTGCTCTTATCAAGATGCCGAAGCTTAACATTTGCATATCAGACTTGCCCTGTTAGACGTTTGTTACAATTAATGCATGAAGAGACAGACATTTTATAATTTATCATTTATCAGTTCATCCATTTTTAGGAGCCTACCCCTTATATCTGATATAAATTTAAAAGATGAAACTACAAAGGCAAGTACCTGTATCTACTAGATGTCTGATGGATTTGAAGTAAAAAAAAATCTTTACTCTTTTAATTTTACCCCTCGTGTTTCACCTAAGAAACCGGTAATTTTTCAACACTGACGTCTGATAACAGTGCAACGCAAAATAAGAAAAACTCGTTCTGGCAGTAGTACATGAAGAAATAATGGCATGATTTGCTATTTAAATGTTAGGACTGTAATTAAGATTGATTTCATTGTGTAATACGGCCAAAAGTATTTTCTCTGTTTTACATCTCCGTCTTACTTTACATTGCACTGTTTAGCAGAGTGTCGTGTTGCAGCTTCACTGCGTGGTTTCTTAGGTAAATAAAACGAGGCGTTCACAGTATCAGATCAAGATATACATCGAAAATGCCCGTTGCCCTCCACCTCCACCCCCTCATCTGTACGGTTTAAGGACCGCGGATGAGGAAGAATAAGAGTTTGACAGACTTTTTTTTTTACTACTCCCCTTTTTTCTGAATTTCCCTTCATACCATGACATCCTTTTCGTGCTTGTTTTTTTATTTTCTTTTTGCAGCTGGGTTAACGTGAACGATCTGGCGTTACTTTAATAGAGAAACCTGTTTTATGTTAATACCTTGTATGTAAAAACAAAAGCTCTCGACGTGCTTCACATTACCAGAGAGCTAGATAAGAAAAGGTAAAATACGAATAAAATCCCAGATACAAAACACAACAAGTGCAAATCTAAAACATTCAAAAAGAAACATTTTCATACTGGAATTACAAATGCTTACAGAGGCAGTCCCTTGTGATACTTATGATCCCTAAATCTTGATGCATGCCCGCTATTTCTATTGTGATGACTGCAGTAATGGAAATAAGAGTACTGTACTTGGAATAGGCATGCTACATGTTAGGCCTACGTGCTGCTATTTTTAAAGGTCCTGAAGAATTATTTTTTACATCAACAGTATTCCTCGCATTTTCTTTGTTATTCCCATTCTTGCCCCCCTTTTGTTTTAAAGATTGATTAGAAACACCTGTTTAGTGTGACTTCCCCCAAATAAACTCTTCAGTACACGTAAATGCATATCAAAGCGGAGTAACGAGGGTAAGCAATAAATGTTGAAGCGGGTACAAACTTCCGCGAGTTGTAAAGCGTAAATTTCGAGTGCATTTTGACTGTGTTGTGGGAATTGAACGAAGCGTACACTAGCCCTTCTTTCTTCTTGCCCATTCCCTATTAACTTTAGTCTACGTGCCGTTTGTTACTTAACGTAAGGGGTTTAAGGATATTGGATGGTCATATTAATGGGTCCAGAGCCACACCTCAGGTGTTTAAAGAAACGCTATTCTTTGTCGAAAAACTAACCTCTTAAAAAAACATTAGGCAAGTGACAGGCCGCTTTTACTTGACAGTTTATTGGCAAGGCTGTGGTGGAAACCGTGTCTCTCAGACGAAACAAACCTAGCGAGAAATAAATTCGGTAATTTCGTGTGTAGCCTCGCAGCTGAATAGCGTAGCTATCTAGAAAAACAGGCACTTAGAATTCAACGATAAAGTTTGTTTTAAATATCAGGGACGGCATTTAATGCTTATGTCACCTTAATAATGTCGTAGTTTTTGTGCTGTTAATGGAGTGAGTGGGAAGCTATCTCCTAATTCGCCAAGAGAGGCTACAGAAAAACAGTAGGTTCAGAGGTGTTGTAAACTCTTCTTGAAAATCGCTCTGGCGCAGTTTTTCTTCGCCGTAGCTTGCAGGCATGTTGAGTCCATTACAACCAGATTCCCATCTTTACCGGATAATAAATTGCTGTATTACACCCCACAGCTGAACGGTGACCATTTTTGCACGTTTCAGCGATTCTGTGCAGAAGCCAGACGGGTATTGCTTACCAGGCTCCAAAATAAGGTCTGACTTTCACTTCGCCCTATAGGGCATACAGGGATTTTCCTCGAACAAGGGGATTTTTGCATATAATTTTCATTTGTTAATGGATTGTGACTACAGTTAGGCCACTTCCAATAAAGTTAGAAATGAGAACCTCGTTTCTGAGAGCCTTAGGCCTCAAAGATTGTAACTAAAGCTGAGCTGTAGTACCACCTAAGAGGTGTTTTTAAAAAAGATTACTGTCATGCTGGCTGGTGTGCATGGCTGCCCTTATTTGCTTAATAGTGAGTTGCTAAATGTGTTAAGGAAGTAATTTAAATGGCTTGCCTCAAAACAACGTCTTAAATGTTGCACATCGATTTTACGGAAAAAAGTTATTGTTGGCTCAACAGGTGGCCTTACCATCCTCAGTTGTGGTAAACTAGTATTTTAATGTAAAGCCATTGAAGACCTTATAGCACAATGAAGTGTAGCTTGGCATTACACAGGGCTTAGCAGGTGGTGGGTGATTGCATTTTAGATGTGGTCTCTCCAGAGTCACTTTTTACCTGACAAAAACCTTAAGAGCACATGAAATGCCAATACCTTTAAGTTATTGATGATAAATTGTATATTGACAGTTTGATTTCTGATTAATGTAAATTGATGTGAAGAAATAGGACTGGCAAATGTTTCTTTATCAGTGGACATATTCTTCTGCTCACTGGTCCTCCTGCTTTTGCTATAATTACCTTCAAGTGTTTAAATACTTTTTTTGTGCTTTTTTTTTCATCAGTTTAATTTCTGCTTTGCAGTTGAGCCAGTGGGAATGTTTTTGAGTTTTTGAGGTTTTAAAAGGAACCTGTTTTATGCCTATGCATTGTATGTAAAAAAGTTCTAGAAGTTGTGCTTTCTCCAGTGTTTTTATGTTAATAAACACTTAAAATTAAATAAAATAGTCATTTTAAATAAAATAGTCACTTCACATTTGTTAATCATAAATGTAATGGCATTTTGATTCCTGATTAATATAAATTAAGACGTTAATTTGCACATTCTGATCAAGCAGATCAATATTGGTTATAGTGGTATAAACCCAGGTCTGGACCTTAGCTATAATACATTTTTTTAATTTCACAATTTTAGAACATACACCTGACCAGCATCATTTCATACCCCTGCTCTTAAAAACTTCCTGGCACATGTTTTGTTTAAAGAATAGTCTCATCCCACCCAATACATCCCCTTACAAGTGAAGAAGGCTCCATAGCCAAAACATGTTTTTTCAGCATGGAATAAACCTATAGCTTGTTCCTTTGCAGTCTCATCCCACTAGTCAGATTAACTGTTCCCTCAGCCAGGTACTGTAAGTAAAGCCAATAAAGAAAACCAGTTACCTTCCCTCCTCTACCTCTTCTATAAGAAGGTTTGGCTGAACTACTTAATCTACAGTAATTGTAGCTCTAGAATATATGGATTTATACAAATTAGTAAAAGGTCTGTTTTTTTATTTCCACAATCTAAGCAGGTAGAAACTGTAGGGAAACTTGCTAGTTTCTTGAAAGAAACATTCCTGCTACAATTCACTTGGTTCTGAATGAAATATAAATGACTACTAGTGCAAACATCCATATAAACACCTTAATAGATTCACACATTTACAGTGTGATGACTTAACAGGGGTTTTTATGATTGTACCTGAATTTTAGTTTGACGGTAGGCCATCCATATAAGCATTACATGCTGTGCAGTCTTATTGCCTTTGATTTGATAGTATCTTTTTCTTCTGTCCACAGCACCTGTCAGAGATCTCCGTCACTGAAGGAGACCAGAGGCCTAACCTGAGAGATCTGGGCAAAAGTAAGTTTCAGGCAAAGATAGATAGGATGAACATACTTTATTTTACAGTGCAACTTTTGTCAAATCTAAAAACTAATTCCTCAATGACGGATGAAATAAAGCAGAGTAGATATAGTGTTCTCTTTAATACTTCAAATTAACACAGGATGGCCTCCATCTGACTTGGATAATGTACAATTAATGTGTTAAGATTACGGATTTATTAGGAGAGAAACATCTCTGCCTAGCAAAACCGAGATTCACTGTACAGAACGATATTTTGATGCTTTTCGACTAAGTGTTTTTAAGTAGAAATAATGATGCTTATTAGTAACGCATAATGAAACTACCGTGCATACATAAAGGACCTATCGCTATCGAAATGATGCAGTTACAATTAGACACTCGTACTGAACGGTGTCAAAATATTAGCGTAAAATATGGTAATGTTCGTTAGCTTTGAACAAGTACTTAAATCTACTCGGTATAAACCACGACAGTGTTATTCTTTTCATTAGTTTGTTTGCTTCATTCCCAATACGTGCTAATTCCTACAGGAAACCCCCTGAACCCATAAACTAAAACTACTCTAGTGTTCAAAGACTCCCGGAGTGCTGACGACTCGTTCCTTCTCTCTTTTTTTTAAACAAACAGTGACTTATTGTGAGAATCGAGTGTGAATTTTGACAACTTTGACCTCATAACAAAAAAGATGTAGCGGAAGCTTGGAAATAAGGAAACATCGCAAAGGCGGTAGGCAGGGGGGTGGTGTATGTCTTTTTGTTAGAAACGCCTCCCGCCTCTGTTTAACTATAGCCCCTTGTTTCTGTCCCATACACATCTTTAGTGTTTCATAATATGTGTGTGTGTGAGAGAGAATAAGCTCGCATCTCTCAGGGTACGTTTCAGTGTAAATGGAATTGTGTTGCTTTCGTCCGGCTTTTGGCTCCAGTTCGTGAGTATTAACGATTTATTGTCATCGATTTACCTCGAGCTACAATTAAAACCTGGGACGGCTCCAATCCTGCCAAGCCTAAGTTTCCGTTTTGCATAAAGAAGCCGAATTTTATAGTTAAAGTATAAGATTAAAGAAACAGGAACTTTTCTCTCTTGGCGAATTGGCTGTCCCGGGGGAGCATATTCAGAGAGAAGTGCCTGTGTCCTGGAGAGGTTGTCGACGGAGTCGTTTTAAGTGAGGGCGATTCGGGTTCTTTGTTAAAAAAAAAAAAATTTAACCGGGAATGTGTTCCGGGGGCCTTGCTAAACACCGCGTTAGAGTTAAAGTAAAACATTTTAAAACGTTTGTTTCGTTATAGTTCTTTTTTGTCTTGTGAGGCTGTGAAGCAAGTACTTTATGACACGATCTGCAGTAGTTATGGTGTAATCTTGCAGTCTTGCTGCCACGATTAAGTACGTTGATGTAAATCGACGTTATTCGAAAGGTTTATAGTGTTTTCTCTTAGCGGATATGTTTATTAAAGCACAGATATTGTCAGTTTCTGAGTGACAAAACGGGCTTCTCGTTTCGATCTGCAATCCAATATTCGGTGAGACAAGACTCCACTTCAGGGCGAAATAATGTACCCTGCTGTAACCCTCTGTCGTCTTTAATCATTTCGGGGAAAACATGATATTACTACTGTAGTTTCCTAAAATCACTTTTATTTGTCCACTGTACTTATTTCCAATATATCACGTGATTCAAATTCATATCAGTCCACAAGAGACTAACTGCATCCCAAGTAGGCACTTGTTTATGTAAGTAAACATGTTGAAATTGTAAGTACATTGCTGTAAAACCAGGTGCAAAAAATACATTATTCCTCAATGTATTTTAAGACTTTAAGAATAATTTTACCACTGCTAAATTCACAGGAGCCTGGAGTAGATACAGTAGTTATTCTCTGGCATATACTGCTTTTTCTAAAAGTGTAAGTTCTTTGACATTATATATCCTCCGATAAACGGTTTTTTGACATGTATTTTAGTTAAACATTTCAAACCACATTATTTAAATGCCTGTAGACGGCATTGTGTACATGTATAATTTACATGTAATTACAATATGAATGTATTTTAAATAGTGACATAGCTATGGTAAGACAGTGAAACATAGTTTTTTTTATATTTATTATTGATGGCACGTATATATAAAATAACTTGTAATTTTAAACACGTGTGTCTGTATTAAATATTGAAATGAGTATTAATTGAGTTATGCAAAGGAACAAGTAAAGGTTTATTCTATGCTGAAAAGAGAAGAAAAACAACATTTTGGCTGTGGAGCCTTCTTTGGGTGTGAACTTGACCTATTTGAACTATTTAATTGAGTTAATTTCACAGGAGCTGCTACACTAGCAGTTATGTGTAATATGATTACTTATAGTGAGAAACTACATACTCATTGCTGCTGTAGCTCTGCAAGTTTTGTTCCTCCTTTATACAGTACCAAGTAATATTACACTTAATATACTTTTACCACTGGTCATGATGCTTTCTATATTACTAGAGGCTGCTTGATTACTGGTATAAAGTAGGATTTTGCTATTTAGATTTTAGAATATCCTGGAAGTGTCATTTCTAATATTTCTTCCGCCATACAAATCATGGTACCTCATCAAGAAGTCGAGTTAATATTAAAAGCAGATGTTCTACTTCAAATACTTAGTTATGGTGTAGTATATGTTTAGTTATTAAAGTATTTTTAAATATTAAAAATAGATGTATTGGCAGAAGGTGACTAGTACTTGAATTTTAAAGTAGCAGTAGTAGTGGGTTGTGGTGTGAAATGGAGCAGCACACACACTGTCCATTCACTGTGTGCTGCTCTTAGGAGCCACAGAGCAGTCCGCACAGTCTCCTGGAGAGGGGGATAGATGTTTTAAGACTGACAGTGCATAGCTGTCTAGGAAGACCTTGTGCACTAATGTAGCTTGTAGTCAATCTACATACTCGCAAACTAAATTTTGAGTACACCTGTTTATTAAACTACTCTCTTGCCTACCTGTACTGGAGGATTTCATAAACTCCTGCTCATTTTCAGCTTGAGGCTTACAGCTAGGGTGTGACAGCAGGAGTTGGATTTTAGGATGCTGGTTCTGGCAAAAAACATCCAAATACTGGGACTAGAGAGTAGGACTTTGATTCCATGCATCTATTTTGTTTTATTTTATGACTGTATTTACAGGACTGTTTCCTTGTTCCCCGGTGTTCTGTGCTTGGCTTTGCATTCCCAAAATTGTGTGACAATTTATGGAGTCTTGTAGTAGTTTTAGTAGTTCTAATGGAATGCTTTTTCTATGAAAAGTGGTTCTTTCATAATGTTCCACATCAAGACATTCTACAACAGAGACTAGAAACCCTTTTCTGATGTATCACAATTGCTTTAATCAGTATTGATTTATTTTAAAAAATGAAAACGAGCCCTAACATAACCCCATTTTCCCCCTCAGTGGAGTCTACAGAGCTCTTTCGAACTCAGAACAATTGATCGTTGCTGGTTGCAGAAATCCTTTGAAATTGTTCTTTAGTAAATTATTGAACTGGGGGGGGGGGATTGGTGAGATCAGTCATGTCGAACATGGCTGCCATTAGTTTTGATCTGGGATATTTTTCTTCTGTAATAGATCTCCTCTAACAGATTGTTTTTGTTTTGTCATAATCTTTCCAGTTCAATCAGGGTCCGTTCAGAGACCAGTGGGTTGAAGAAGGGGGTGACTCGAGTCCTCTGTTGTAAATTTTGATATGGCAATATCTCAAAGCCCCTCACTATTAGGAGTAGGAGGCACTACTTCACCTTTGTGAAGCTGGTAATTGGCAGGAGCAATAAGTGGTTGCACAGGAGACTTCCATCTGCCTCCTCTCATTTGCAGTGTCTCTGTTCCCTTTACAGCACCACCATGGAGTATTGTGAGCTGGGGGGCGACCGCACGTCCCTGGTTCTCTTTGCCTTCCTCCAGAACCAGGAGTGTAAAAACAAGGAGCTCCAGAGGGAGCTGGAAACCCTGGGAGAGAAGATGAGGAAAAAGGATGCAAACTCGAACAGCTGCCAGTACCTCGAGGACTGCTACGCCGAAGAGGACGGGGAGCTGCAGACGGACGGACACTTCTGTTCTGATGTCCGGGAGTTTGCCAGGGAGAGGCAGTTTGACGTCCAAGGAATAATGCCAAGTACAGTATTTTCTCTGTACTACATCTGATTATTTAATCATGGTGGTTGAGAGTGGAAAGAACATTCTGGAGTTGGAAACGTGTGGTTAGTGAAACTCGCTTACAGTTGCAGAGAAATTATTCACTTGGTTTAATTGTTTTATGGACTATACATGTGTATTTCAGAAGTTTATTGTACTCTAAATAATCTTATACTTCAGACGAGTTAAGAGTGGAGAGCAGAACAGCCAATTCTAATGTCTGAAATCCACTCTTGCAAAGAGTTGCAAGACAAATGTATGTTCACCCCCTGCCTAAGGCTTTTACCTAAAAAATCTGTTTAAATGCTTTTTTTAAAAACACAAAAGGTTTGTGAAACTGCTTAAATAGCAATTATCGTACATTGATTAGAGATGCCCCCTCTCTAGTTGTCCTTCTTTCTTGGGTAGAACCTTACAGAGTCTACCACTGCGCCTATGGGAAACGCAGATGTAAGAAGGCTCGATAGACCCTGGACACAATCCCAGTGTGTCGTAGAATACAGTATGCTAGTTAAAATGTTATTTCTAATAGCTGCAGCGCACAGAACTCTGTGCAGTCTCTCATCAACTTGCTACTTAAGAATATTTTTCCTTATTTCTGACTAAACAAAAAAGACTTTAAAATCCTCATGCTCACCTATAAGGCTCTGCATGGCCTGGCACCTCAATACCTGTCTGAACTATTATCGCCCTACTCCCCTCCTCGCAACCTTTGCTCTTCTAATTCTGCTCTCCTTATTGTCCCCTAAGCCCGTCTACATTGTATGGGTAACAGGGCCTTCTCCTGTTATGCCCCCAAGCTCTGGAACTCTCTCCCCAAGGATATCAGAGAGTCACCTTCTTTAAACTCCTTCAAATCCAGACTCAAAACCTTCTTTAGAAAAGCCTTTACTTAACTGGTTCCATTCTTCACCCCTCTGCTTTTCTTAGTACCACCATCCATGGTCTCCTCTGTATATTGTAATTGTGTTTTATCTTGTGTATTCTTTTTATTTATTGTCGTTGTCATTCTTTAAAGCACTTTGAGAAGCCATCTTTAAAGGCGCTATATAAAATAAAGTTTATTATTATTAATAATAATAATAATAATAATAATAATAATAATAATAATATTAAAGAAAGGGTGGCATGGTAGCACAGTGGTTAGCATTGCTGGCTTGCGATGCTGGGGCACTGGGCTCAGTTCCTGGGGCATTATTTGTGTAGAGTTTGTATGTCCTTACTGTGTTCCCATGGGTTTCCTCCCACAGTCCAAAGACATACTGCTAGTTTTATTGGCTTCTGGGAAAACTGGCCGTGGTGTGACTGTGTGTGTGTTTGTTCAATTTTCCCTGCATTGGACTGGTTTGCTGGGTTATGATCTGGTGTCTTCTGTGACCCTTTGTACACGGACAGTAAAATACTTGAAGCCCCAGATGGTTTTGTAAACTGATGAGCATCAACTGCTTTCCATTTACCTGTGTTGTGAGCACCATGATTGCATTGTTTCTGACCATTATATAAGACAGCACTGTAAAAAACATTTCTTTTTTTTTTACCCATTTATTTGACTGCTTGATTCTAATTAGAATTTTGCTCAGTAGGGATTCTCTTATTTCTCATACAGTTTCTCAATTTTTCATTTTTCTTTACTTCATATAGCATTGCAGCTAAAATAATATTGAATTGGTAAATGCAACGCCTATTAATCAAAACCTCTATTTTGTTAAAAAAGAATATTATGGTAAGAAATTGTAATCCCTTTTTTATTAGTTCAAGTAGGTAGCTGCGTCAGCATGCGTAGACTACAAAAGAACAAGTAATAGGTTTATTCTGTGGTGAAAAGAGAAGAAAGAAAACGCAACGTTTCGGCTGTCACCTGAAGAGGGCTTCACAGCCGAAACCTGTTTCCTTTCTTCACTTTTCAGCATGAAATAAACCTTTACTTGTTCCTTATCCCCTTTATCATATTGGTGGTTCAATATTTTTCTTAGCTGTGAGTGTCCACAGGCTTAAATTAAGGCATTGGGAAAATCATTTTTTAGTAGAGAATAATATAAATGGAAACTTGGAAGTTAACTTTTTTAACTTTTAGTATTTTAAAAAGAGAGGAGGCTTAAGGCTCCCCTTGCTTGGTTGATGGCTGATTTTATCCCAGAATCCTGTCCAGCCACTTAACATGGTTCCTCCAGAACCATGTATAAATACCTACATTAGGTTGTTTGTTTTCAGACTTTGTGTCTCCCAGTTATAGTTCCTTTGCTGGGATTCCAGTTCTGACCAAGGTGTAGTTCTTGTCCTTGCGCCCTGTGCTTCTGGGATAGGCTGTACAGTAAGGTGCTGTGAACCTATACCTAAACCCGATAGATGGAATTGTCTTTATATTAAAACTTTCTTGACCTTTCTTATACCTTTTGTCACATTTGTTAAAATTACTTCAGTCAGTATCAATTGTAAATCCTCAATGCTTTTTTTAAAAAAATCATCATTGTTCATTTAATATGATGTATTGATTGTGTAATCCTGCTTGAGGTACAGTATGTTTGAATTGCCAACAACAGAATTCAGTCAGACTGAATTGGATTTTCTAGGGGATTAGTTCCAGCAGTATTAAAAGGTGCGTTATGTTCAGGGCTGGTACCGTATACTCCTTCACTGTTGAATATGGTAAAAGAGTAGAGTGGTAACTGTTTTCTGTTCTCTTTCGGCAGTAAATGCACCACGAGATGCTGAACTGAGGAACATCGCTGCTGGTTTGATAGAGATTGCTGACCAGCTGGAACAGAGAGTTGTTGCTCGGGCTTCCGAGAGTTTGGTCATGAAGTTAAGGAAGTCATCACAGCAGGTAAGAGGCTATAAGCATTAGAACACTTTTCACGAGTGAATTTTCACTGGCCTGCAGGTAGATAGTGACTCCTGAGCCTGAAGGCACCTGGCAAATGACAGAGCAATGACAGTGAGGAATATGCCTGCTCGCCAGCTGGGGCTGATCTTCTTGTGAATCACGGGAGAACTTGTAGTGTCAAAAAATTAATGGCTGATAGGTAGGCAACCACTCCCTCCTTCCTCATTTTCCCACTGTGGAATCAAGGGTTATTGCTGAGACAGAAGACTGTTTCAAGCTGGGAGGTTATATAATAAAATATTCGAGAAAACCTTTATTTTGTAGCATATTAGGTACTGGTTATTAGTAGTTGTCTATAATCTGTTTGTGAACATATCCTAAATTATTGAGGCCTGGAGCTCCAGGCTCTATTGTACCCTTGACCGTGGGGGATCAGCTGGGATTTTTGAAAGCAAGTGAGAAGTATTATAAGTTATCTCATGCTGCCATTTCTTGATATAAACTGAGGTTCTGGTGTCAACATATCTGGGTAAATTGGCTTAGCTTCTCAAGAGCAAGGTGATTTGGTTGGCTACAGACTTCAGGACTCAGAGCCTACTGTCTGGAGTGAATGCAGTAAAGGGTGCTGTACTGAGTGGTGCTACAGTGCTAGATATACAAGATGTAGTTTGTTTGCCAGGCCAGATTGCAGGAGAATCGAGGAGAGAAGGTGGTGGGGGTCCTTAACCCACTTACAGGCTGCCTTAACAGATGTGTGAGTCTTAAGAAGAAAATAAAGCGAAAGATGGTGTACGTGGGTTGCCTTGGGGGCTAGACAGATGAGGTATGTGGTGGCTTTGTGTGCACGACCAGACCACACTTTCTAGCTGCAAGAAGGTGAACTGTAATAAATACAGTCGTCGTCGTCGTTACTGCTGCAGGTGGATGGGAGCCCTGAGACCTATTTAGGATGAGGAGCAGATGATTTCTGATTCTGGAGGTGGTCGGTTGTGAGCAGGTGGTTGCAACAAAGTTAAAATCAAGTTTTGGGCCATTAAGAGAACTAGAAAGGCCATGCAATCTGATGCTTTTGCTCCGAGGTGTTTAAAAACAATGTAAGCAAAAATCCTGATGTTTTCCTCTACAATCTAGCATATGATGCTTGACTGTCACAACCACACCCTCCAGAGGACGCTGTAGGCATGCGCTACAGTAAAACAGAGAGAGCCAGATGCATTGTATTGATGAAACTGGTTGGGAATCTTTGTTTCTCCAATGTGGAAATGCAAAGGCAAAGCTGTATGAAGCTTGGTGATAGGAGCTGGGCGAAGGGGAATTCCACACTGTATTTCTAGGCCTAAAATGCGTTCTAAAGGAAATACTAGTATGAATTCTCATCTTGACTTTACAGTGGAGAGATGGGAGCTTCTTTAATGGAATGCCGAGATACAGGCTTGTTTGGATTAAACTAAACCAACAAATTGAACCAAAAAAAAATCTTAAAATGTGAAAGCTAAACCCTCTGCAGATCTTCCGTGATGCAGAATGGATACAATTAATTGCAGGTGTTTGGATGTAAGGCAATTTGCTTTGGTATATTTTTAATTGTAATAATGAATTGATTATGATCATATAATCAGTTTACCAATTTATAAGTTCTCATGTGCAAAAACAAAATTCTATTGGCAACCTAACAGTACAAGGGGAAGCAATGTATAATCTGGATGAAGCAATGACTGACATCGCCTAGAAAGATGGGCATTAATTAAAATTAATTTTAAAAAGTGGTGTAATGGAAGTAAATGTTAGCACTTCCGCATGCATCTTATCATGGCAATTAAAGGTTAGAAATAAGAAGGCCTTTTGACCCATCTGCACAGGTTGATAATTTGCAAGGAGTGGGATCTGTTTTTCAGTATTAAAGACACGACAGCAGTATAAACATCTTTTCTGTTGTAGGGGACCCTGAAAACGGGCAACAATGGGGAAAGTGTTCCTGAATTTCACCTTAAGTCTTCAGCACAGCCCCTTTGAGTAAGACGTTATTGGTCAGCAATTTCATTGTGCTCAGTTAAGCAGGTGGCTTGTTAATTAAATGTGCTAAGTATCAAACGTAACTTAATACTCCATTTTTACCTCCAATTACCCCAATTGTTATGAATTACTTACAGGATTTGTTTCACATGATTTTGCATGTAAAACCTTAGGAGCTTCAGAGGTTTTGAATCTCTTAATATAACCAATTCTCATTCTACCATAGTGCTTAAGTATCAAAGAAAACTGATTTATGTTAGGTATGCTAGAGACTGGTCTAAACCATGTCAGTGTTTGCCAAATAGAATGTTCACATTTGGAAACTTCTAACTTGGTAAGACGTTCTAGACAAACAGTCAGTGAAAGGCTCTGTTTTGGGGGACCACAATTTCTGACACCTGCCAAGATTAGTTTGCTACTGTAAGAGGGCAGTGAATCAGTAATCGTTTGTGAGATTGATAACCATTTAGGGACCCAAGGCTCACCAATGTTCATTGACACAGCAGAATGTGGTGTGAGCAACAGTCAGGTGGACCTGTGAACAGTGGAGTCAAGTCCTTTTTTGCCACGAACCAAGGTTTTGTGTGGTGGCCACCCTGATGGACCTGAGGGAAGTTGTATGGGAACCATCCGTCAGCAAGGTGACTTGAGCCAAAGGAAAGCACATTTCTTCATGGTGCTCTTGAAACAAATGAGATGAGAATGAGGCAGTTAGACTATATGTGATCTGTTTGCTAGACTTGAGCCCCATTGCTCATTTATGGGATGTGCTAGGTTTTTGTCTGACTCCTAGATGCCACACATCAGTATAAAGGCATGGGATGGAATTCCACAAGCCAGCATCTGCTGTGTGGTACAGATCTTGTCTCTTTATTTACAGCTTGTATTGCTTCCAGTGATGGCCCCAAGCTGTACTAATTCACATCACACTCCATAACACATGTAATGAGCAAGATTAATGCATCTACTGTATATCATGACTTAAAAATATCAGTGCACCAAAAATGTTCATATTAACTGTAAGTTGTTTTTTAGTGTATCAATACGGTTTAAAGACTATTTGTGACAACTACCTGATTTTTCATCTGTTTAGTAAACAACTAATTAGCAAGCAGGTGTTCCCGACCTTTAGAAACTGGTGTCCTATAAGAGTGTTTGATCTAGGTTTTTGTAGCAGTCTTGTATCATCTCCTGAGTATGCTTCAACCTGAACTGTCCTGATAAGATGCTGCAAACTTTCAGATGTCACAGAAACCCCATTACAGCACTTCTAAGATGTTGCAGTGTTGATCCGTGATGCATCTTGCATTCTTGCATGAATGACATGGATCAGCATGTCATGATTAGCATGTGGGCGAAGCGTTGGCACTGTGGCTAAGGATCTGCACCTGTGGCTGGAAGGTTGTTGGTTCAAATCCCGCAGCCGGCAGAGGAATCCTACTCCGTTGGGCCCCCTGAACAAGGCCCTAAACCCCAACTGCTCCAGGGGCGCAGTATAAATGGCTGACCCTGCCCTCTGACCCCAAGCTTCTCTCTCCCTGTCTGTGCGTCTGTGTCTCATGGAGATCAAGCTGGGGTATGCGAACAGGCGAATTCCTAATGCAAGAAATTGTACAGGGCTAATAAAGTGATGTTATGTTATAACAATGCTCACCTCTGCCTATACCCAGAGCAATACTAAGCAGCACAGACCAGTGTGATTGCTGGTCTGAGGTGATGCCTTGCAGTCATCAATGTTAATGGTGCCATACAAGATCCTGACTTGGTAACTTGAATAATGCACTGGGCTCGGAGCTGCACTACTTAATAACTTGGATGATCGTGGTTTATACATTGGAAATGTGGTGTACTGTTGAAATCCACTCATTTTCATGCTGTTCCTTATTTTGATCAGTCTGTTTGGATCTAGCATAAGACTTGAGCAAACCTTCACCAGACAGGAATACTCTCAATCTTCTGTGTCATCCAGTTACTTGTTTGCCTGTGGTGTCTGGTTGTTCCCCACTTCCTGTCAGCAATGTTAACAGGAGTGTTCCTTTGTATCTGCAGTTGTGGCTGAACCACCTGTCCTCAGAGGTACGTCAGCTGATGCAGACACGTCTGCCTGGTCTGCAGCACTTCTCCCAGGAGAGAGTCTTGCTGGCTCTCACCATGACTCTAGTGAAGAGAGTGTGTGAGCAGGCTCCTAGTTTCCTGCATGGCCTGTTCTGCACTGCAGTGGACTACATCAATTCCAGACAGCCCAATTTCATGTTCAATATGCGATAGGTAAGCATCCCTAGTGGAAGTCTGATTTAAAAAAAAGAATATTTCTCATAGGGTTTAATGTTTTTAGTCATGCCAAAGCTGTTAACTAAAAAAGAACTGGTGCAATGTTAAGAATTTAACAGACTGAATAATTGCTTTCCTTTTTCCTCTTAAAATTGTGCACTCCCAATTTGGAATGTGTCCTCCTACCTGTTTTGGGGAGGATGTGAACAAGTAAATCCCTTCTTTTTCCATCTGCTTTTTTTTTTCCAGCCATCTGCCTTTATCCATGCTGTGACCAATGCAGAGGTCTGCAGCAACACTGCAAGCTTGCAAATGCTCAACCAGCCATACAGGGGACAAGTAGTTTTATGACGATTCTCCATTGTCCATCCAAGCCTGGTGACACTTGGCCATTTCTTTGCAAATGCTGGGGAATTCTTTGACAAAGTCCTTCCTGCACTGCCAGCACCATGACTGGAAGAGTCCCTAAAGAATCAAGCTTTCAATTAGGGTTGCTAAAATGTTATTATTCAGACCCTTTCACCCAGTGTTACTATAGACCTTTTGATTATTTTCATGGAAAGCTGGAAGATATGGTACTCTTGAAGTACCTGAGGAAAGAACTTTATTTTAAGATGGAATACAAGGGTGAGCAGAACCATAGGCCATGTTCATTTAGCAATTAGTTCATGAGAACTGCAAAATGTGTTCTTGGCTTGTAAAAACAAGGTAGTGAGCAAGCTCGTTTGATAAATCAACAAACCAAATGCTAATGAAAGTATGTAGGTAGGCCCTTGTACAACCACCTCAAATATTCCATTCCTATATACGTTATATCTGGTGGTATTTAGATAAGTTCTGATTTATTTTTCTAAGTCAGTAAAAGAATTAAATAGCTGAAAGGGCATCCGTTATCTGAAAATATGATTCATTAAAGTATCTGGTGGGTGAAGAACAATGCCGTGTGAAAAAGCTGTAAACCTGGCATATATGAAGACCTGACTTATTTTCAGTTTTACAAGACGGTTTCTGGGTTTTTCCTATTGCAATCCAGCCTTGTCCGGCCAATATCTGTATTAATTAGTCCAGGCTTATGCGATGTTTAGTTTGTAATTGCAGATGCTTAATATTAGGAATTCAGATGAAACAGATTTCATCCAGTTTCAGGAAGAACAGCAATTTCTGTTCTATTTTATTTCTAGATGTAAAAAGATGCTGATTGCTAGTTCATTATAGATGCCATTGTGCCGATCAAAAGGAATATGGCTGCTAACGTACAATAGAGGCCATTATATCCATATAACCTGTTTGTTAGTTCAGTAGTGGTGATGTCCTGGCTGAGGCTGGGTTTGTACAATCTAACATCCTTAAAGTTTCCTATTAATTCAACTGCTTTTAAGGAATTTTTCACTTTCTTCAAACCGGAATATTTTTCTTCCCTCCTTGACTCTGTTTCAGCTGCCAACTTTCCACTTTTTTTTATGAGATAAAAATAGAAAGTGGAGAGGTCTGAATATGTATATATTGTAAATTATTTTCTGGCATTATTTCCTTGTTTTTAGTGCCAATGTCTTGAGAGTTCCCTTTTGAATGTTAAAGGTAATAAGCAGTGTGTGCTGGCTCAAATGTATGTCTGTATTGTAAAAACTTTCTCATGAATTTAGTTAATTCCTGTTTCTGAGCATGCATTAATAAATTGTAGCTTTAAAGACTATAATGCACAATTGTCTAAGAAGTGAATTTGTCATTTTAAATGATGCATCTGTACATGGGTCATGCACTGTTGTGAAGTACTACTCGCTAGGGTCATGAACCTTAACATCATACAGAGGTAATGACAAGTGCCTCTCATTACTGCTGACTTGAATCAATCAAAAAAGAGTTTGCTGGACATATGTCTTCCTTTCATATTGTTCAGTGTCTGCTACTCAAAGTGGTCAAACTAGCACTAATAAGAGCACTGGCTCTTGTTATTGTCTTTCCATTTGCAAGGAATTGACTGTTTTTTTGTCTGGTGATATTTAGAGTTCTGATTTTTTTGCTTAGTAAGGAGCCAGTAAAAGATTTTTACTTTTTTTTGAAAGGTCATCCGTTGTGACGTTTTTCATTGTACCGTTTCGTACCTTTTAGTTATTTCCCCAAAGCTGGATACTTTGTACCTGGAATGTCCTTTGTATTTAAACCAGAGATGGACAGCTTTTTTTCCTTAGTTGTACACCTGAAGGTAAATTACTGCCAAAAGACAAAGTTAATGGAAACTAGCAGTTTTGAGAACCCTGTTCACCTGCTATCCCGGTTGGATTTGATAAAAGGTCTGTTGATCCAGACCAACTTCTGCAAGTGGGTTTCTGAACTTAAATTTGTGGCCTTTTTCTATCTTGAATGTTATCATTAAATATAGAACAATAGGTTTATTCCATGCTAAAAAAAAGATGCTGAAAAAAAGAAGAAAGAGAACACATTTCGGCCGTGGAGCCTTCTTCAGCCTTCTTCACCTGAAGAAGGTTCCACGGCCGAAACGTTGGGTTCTCTTTCTTTTTTTCAGCATGGAATAAACCTGTTACTTGTTCCTTTGCAGCCTACGCATGCTGACGCAGCTACTCACCTGAATTAAATATAGAATGTCAATATAATTGCTGGCTTGTGTATTGAGAATGTTACACAATATTGTTGTTCTCCTAATAGGACAATTAGTCTTTGTAGAGGTACCAGGTTAAGAGCCCATTCTACCTGTTCTATTACATTACATGAAAACATTTTTTTGATTGTCAGACTTTCCTCCCCCCACAAAACTTTGTAATTAACTAAATTAATTCCTGGTTAAGGCTTATTTATAGTATAACTACAGTATATGGGTAAATACAGTGTATTTCTGACAATGTTCTGCTATTTCTTATTGGGGGAAAAAAGGCCTTTAAACAACACAGGCCAGAAACACGGAGATATGCAGGGGCTAACAACTCAGCAAGTTTTGAAAATATTTTTATTTAATGGTTTTAAACTGTACAGTTAGGAAACTCAGTACAAAATGTAAAGCTGGGGCTTTTACATTCATACTGTTGTCAAAAAATGTCCAATTTAAAAATAAAGGTGTGACTTGAGCAGTTTTCAAGAATCTCAAACGGGACTTGGTTCTGCATTTTAACCCATAACAATTGTAATGTGATTAAACAGCACAAATGTTTGTTACATTTCAATGGTAAAAGCCCCTTTCCTCTACATCCACACTTTGCTACCACCCAGTCTACCATACACCTGGTCATAAAATGTATTACCCCTGCATTTGATTCAGGTGTTGTGTTGAATGCCGATGAACAGTAGGGCCCACACTGAATAATTCTTTAGCTGTGTCCCTTCAACACTGTGAAAGGATTTCCACTAGCTGCTATTGAGAACTGGACTGGAGCAGAGCTGAGTGAGCCTTCTTAACTTTTCATATCTTAATTCCAAGTATAACAAAATTAAATCTTTAATGTCAAAAACCTTAAAGGTGTCTTTCAAATTACCTCACCCCCAGTCAAAAGCCACCTGTGGGCTTCTAGAAAAATACTCCCAACCATAACATAAATAATCTTCACAAAACAATTTCTGAATGCCACACGTGGCAGCTATGTAGCTATGAAAATGATTTTCATTTATTCATTTTCTATCTTTTGCTACTGATTGTCTGTGGTAGTAATGGTATTTTTCCCTAGCAGTATCAAAGCAAAAAGGTTTTTAAAAAAATCTAGTTGCTCTTCTAGTTTAAATATTGCAGAATGTGATCCATCACTACGTGGATTGCTATTCCAAGCTAAGGGAAAAAGCTGGTTTAATTTCCATAATTTAAAGTGCAAGTTAGGTTTCATTTTTGAAATGGCACTCTCTTTTGATCGAGGTTGTCTTAGCCAAAAGACACCAGCAGGTTAATGCTGAATTGTCTTTAGCTTTACCTTTTTTTTATACAAATGCATTTAGTCTAAGACAGGCACAGCTCACTACTGAATTGGATCACTTGTGTCAGGCTGAAGGCTATGCTGGCTGATGGGAAAATGTGTCGAGCAAAAAAAACCTACCGTTTCAGTAGAGTGGGAATGGAATCTTCCTTTGAGAAAACACAAAAACTCCCCAGTCAGTCACAAGCCATGCCGAAAGGAAAATTGTATTGCCGGTCTTGCGATCTTTAACCCAATTCATATTACTACAATTAGGTCTCAGCTTTCCGAAACATCTCTAAATAAAAAAGTAAACCTTTATTTGAAGAATGGATATTTACTCACACCCTAACAAAGTGCACTGTATTTCTGATGAACACTGTGATCCACACCTATTCTTGGTCTTTATTCTCAAAACACATAATAAAATAATGGCCTGTATAAGTACTTTTCAAAAGATGAGTACTGGAAAATATTAATGCTTTCAAAAGAGGGGTCTGACTCTCACAAAAGGCTGAACAGGCAAAAGACGGCAACCAGGTGTTGCTGGGGTTAAAACATTTAGTCTGAAAAGTCAGTTTGGGCTTAAAAACTGAGAACAAACCAAGTATAAGCTCACGAATAAGTGGACACCGGTGTGTTCTGAAACATACACAGTATATCTGCTAGCCTTTAAATGAGCTAATACTGGGTTCAGTGGTTCATCTGTATAGGGCAGACTTTTTCTGGTTTTGTTTGCTGCATATCAGTGAACCAAAACACCCTCTCCATTGCAAACAATCCATTGGCACAGCCTTTGATAAAAAAATAATAATGACAAGACAATACATTCATGTCCCTTTTGTTTGCAAATTAAGCCAGAGATGATCTGTGTTCCACTGACTTCAGTCTTTGAAAGGGGTACCCAAGTGACCCTGGCAGATAATCAGTCTTGATTGTGCTTGTTTTTAACATGAAAAGGAGCCCAGTGGGAACCCAATGAGAAAGCTACATCAGAATAATGGTGAAAAAAACAGGAAGTATTGACAAAAGAACAAACCACGTTTCCACTTCTTTCCAAAAATAACTAGATACACAAACATATATATATATTTTTTTAACTATTCTGCAACCCTAAATCGGCAAAACCATCACCCAAATCAAAACCATAAGAGTATTTGATTTCTAACGTTCTTCAAGAGCTCATTTAAACTAGGGCTTATCCTATAGTGCCTCCATTATTACTGACAAATTCATTTTAACCGAGGGATTGGGCCTAGTCCAGTGAGAACAAGTATGACCAACACTGGCTGCAATGAGATGGGGGTGGAAAAAACTCTTCATAAAACAAGATTAGCACACAATAAATACAGATATGCATAGTTAATACTGTGGTCACTTTTATTTGACTAGGTATGTGGCCATGGAAGAATATGTGAGCAGGAATTAACTAAAAAATGCATATAATCTTGTATTTAATATTATATTGAATTATAAAATTGAATCACAAGAAGAACATACTCTCGCCTTGGACAATCATTTTCATTTACCTGGAGGCAATATAAATAGTCTCCATGTAATCACTTTTTAGTTTTGACACTCTCAAAGGGCAGCAAATCTACTTTTCTGTTGCATCATTTGTAACTGCCGGTTGGAACGTGGATAGTGGAATATATGCATCAGTCAGTTTCCACTAATACTGACAGAGTGGTATGAAATGCCACAAAGCTAATATAAAAAAAAAGTGATTTAAATGGCAAAAAATACAGGGAAGTAGTTCTAAAGTGTATTTTGACAATTGCATCTGTTACACACCCACAAACTTGCATGTTCCTGTACCACTTTGAAAAATCTCTTGACTACAAAGTAATTTATTTTTTATCATGGCATTTTAAATGTTAAAAAACAGTCTTTCAACTAATATAATTATTATTTTTTTAAATAATAATTTAGTTCTCACTCACAAAAATAAAGCGGTGCTTGGGTATCACGTCAAAGGCTGTTCTCTTATACAATTAAATGCTGATGCTGATCTTGGATTTCTAAAAACTCTCATAATCCTCCCCTGGATAACTGATTTAAGTTTTCAGTGATGAAGGTACACACAAAGTGGTATATGGACAGTGGCTTGTCAGTCACATGTAAACCATTCTCAAAGTGAAGGGGAAAGAACCATTCATAGGGTGAATTTTGTAACGTTTTTTTTTTATTTCCATGTAATGATTTCTTTGATGTCTGTGATAAAATATGATGTCTGTGAAAATCAATCTGTATTCAAAATGTGGAGGCCTGTATTCAGGACCTATACCTTGACAAAGCATCTGGAGCCTTAAGAAGTTACCGAGTAACCTAGTTCTCGGGTTAAAGAAATGGCTAAACACTTTTGAAAGGGAGTGAAAGAGTTTTTTCAATATGGACTAAAAATGTATTCCCATACTCAGTGTAACAAGTCAGGTCAAGCCCAGTACCCAAAGAGAAACGGTCAAAATGCTTGGGTTTACTTTGCGTGCTAAATATCTAAAACCACAAGGTCCATTCCAGAGAGGCAACTGTGGTCCTGAGCATATACATTATATCCTAAATCTTTCTCTCTACCTCCTGTACTTTTTTTTATAGTTGTGGGTGTTCAGATTCCACTCGCACGTATAGGACAACAATATGAATAAAAGCAAATGACCATGGTGTACGATACCGAATGTTCCAGAAGACATACTTTGGAAAATGAAAATTAAAACAGCTCCACTCCAGTTTAAGTCAAAATACTACAAGAAACATATGAAAGCACTAAAAAAAAAAAGAAAAGGGAAACCTGAACACAGCGGAAGTACATTCCCTCCTTTCCACGGTTTTCAGCAGCCTGGAAACGGCAGCCTGCAGCGAGTCACATTTGCGATTCATGAAACTCCCCACCCCCACCCCGGCCTATTTTTTTTTGTACACCAGGGCCGCGGCCACAACCACCGCCACTATTGCAACCACCGCTGCACCACCGTACAGAAACACCCAGATGTCCTCAGGCACAGAGGGGAGCGCCTCCTCCTGAGGAGGCACAGTCTCCGCCTCCGGGGGCGTCTCTCCCTTTGGAGGTACCACGGGCTCCAGGTGACACACCGGCACAGCGGCAGGGGGCTCTACCTCTGGCTCCCTCTCGACAGCAGACTTCTCCTCCCCCCCAGCAGGGGGAGCCGGCTCCGTGACGGGCTTGGCCTCTGCGGCGGGCGCAGGCGGCTTCTCTGCTTGAGCCACGGGTTGGGGCTCAGCTGCTGCAGTCTGAGACGACTCCGGTGCAGGGCTGGCAGGCCTCTCGCGCGGTGCGGGGGGGGCAGCGCGTGGCAAGGCTGGCTCCTCTGACACAGGAAGAGCAGCGCCTTCCTCGCTTGCCAGAGAGGACAGCTCTTTCAGAACCCCTTCCTGAAGCCCCGGGACCTCCAGGATCTCGGCCAAGGAAACCGCCCCCTCGTCCTCCACGATCTCCTCCTTCTCCACATGCACGATGTCCGAGTTGGAGGAGTTGTTCTCGCTGCGCTCCTCAGCCCCACCGTTGCTGTCCAGGCTCTTGATGTCTTCAGGGTCCATGGTGACCTGCGCCCAGGACTCGGGCCCAAGGGAGACTGGCAAGCTCTCGCTGTGCCAGCTCTGGCTGGCAGACAGGGAGACAGGGAGGCTCTCGGCTTGCCAAGAGCTGGTGGCCACCAGGGACTCGGGGGGGCTGAGCTGACCAGAGTTGTCACTTGTCAGGATGTAGATGTCGTTGCTGTCTTCAGCAATGATGCCTTGGTCCTCCTCCTCTTCCAGGCTGAACACAGTGCCCTGCCAGGAGGAAAAAGACAGCCACACATCAACAAACCACCCCAAATCAAAGACTGCTTACAGTGCAAGAAGATGGGTCTCAAGAGTATATATATTTCTTGATCAATTGTGCTGATCCAGGTTCTATAAAATAACTTTGTGGGACTTGAAACAGCACAACAATTTTCACTTTAAAAATAACCCCATGAATTTAAAGAAGAGTGAACCCAACAAGTAACTGATTAGTTGCCTACTGAGTGGTGTCTAAGTGCGTGCTAGGACAATCACAAAGAGAGCCTTAACAGGAAGACAGAGGAACACGAAATAGGAATGTCCTAAAAATGTTGGGCACATGAAAATGAGAACTTTAAAATGAAATGTAAACAAAAAGTTGCCTATTCCAGATAAGGTTCACAACATCCTGAAGCCGATGCCAAAAGCACAGGGTAGACTTCACCTTGGATAGTTCACCCTCCCATCCAAAATCATGCACATTCACAAGGACAATACAGAGACACAAGCTTGTCTTTGAGAAGTAGTAGGAAACTGAATTACCTGGAGCAAACCCAGCTGGACACAAAGAGGACATGCAAACTTCACACAAGTCATCCCAAGCGAAAATCAAACCCAGGACCGAAAACTTGTGACCACTGACCATGTCCCAGTGGCAGCCATGGCATAAAATGTAGAACTTTTACTGATCTGCTGAAATCTGCATTTACCCCTTAATTAATTTGAAGAACTCTTCACTAACACTTGCTCTAATGAATGAGTATTCAACACGTTAAGATATTAACAACTGAATATGGACAGTTTAACAAACCGTATGTGTTGTTTTAGTGAAGAGCACTGTGAAAATGGGGGGAAGGGTTGTCTGGCATTACTGAAAGCTCAGAAAAGCAACTAGCGCTAGGATGTCATTGAAAAGAAAAACGTTTTAAAACTGATTGGCATTAAAACCCACTGCAATGACATGATTATGACAAGCAAAACAGATGTTTTGATGCTTTGGTGTTATTCCGACTTAGCACTTTCTAAATAAAGCACCTGTAGGAGGCAAAGTCCCCTCAGACAGTCTTATCAACAGTTTCGTTTTAGCTAATTGAAGAGGAAAGTGGTTGAACACCGTTTTAGCAGCACGTATTTCAAAGATTTTGTGAAGTCGTTTACCATAGCAGTGGTATAGCTGCTAATTCAACCTAAACCTCAGGTACCTTGTTATGGGACCAATTGAGGGCATACTGACGTCAAGATCAACCACATATGTATAAAAACAATTGTATGTATGCATTAGAAATTTCTTTTCAAAGACTTCACATGAGGAAGATACACATGGTGGTTTTCCAGTATCGCTCCATCACTGCTGGCACTGAAACTAAACATGAACTTGAAGTTGAAGTTTTAGTACAAACACTGTTAAGACTCATCTTACCACGCTGAGTACAATCACTTTTCAAACCAATACTATTACAATACAGGAATGCAAAAACCTGTCAGTACAGAGAATTGTGAATTTAAAAGATTCACCTTAATTATTTTTGGTGGGAAATAATATATCCATAAATTAAATGAGGTGTTTCAAATCAAAACTACATAAAAGAAAAGCAAATGATTTTGCAAAAGGATGTGAAGAAGGCTTAGGAATGTCAATAAAGAAAATTAAGTTTATTAAATGAACTACAACACTGTAATAGATGGATTTATTGCTTGCTTCATAAAAAAAAGACTGAAATAAGTGACCTCTTAAATTATTCACCACTAAATGTTTCATGCACATCTTTGTAGTGAGAAGAGATGCAGATAAGATTAGCCACATAATACGTGTGTAATCCAACACACCTTGATCTGTGACAAATTAAGTAAGCAAATTAATAAAATTAAATCTGCACACTTGATCACATTATTGGGGTCTAGAATGGGTGTTCCATGATGGACTGACATCCTGGGTATTCTCTTGTCATACAGCCTGTTCTGCCAGGAAATTCTCTTATTGTTCTTATCCCCTACAATGAATGAGCAGCTTGTGAAAATTAACAGACGAACAATTCTAGTAAATGATGGAAACGGGAGTTATCATGGCTCTTAATAACACATTTCGAAGGTGTAAGGCTGAGGTAGAAGACTTGGTGAGGTGTCTGGACATATCGGAGAAACAACTGAGATTTTCAAGGAACGTGAATTTCATTGGAAAGTCTGCATACAAAACCATGGAGATCTCCACAGGCCCACCTCTATCTCTTCAATACCCTTTTCAAGAAAAGGTTTGAGGGTCAATGTGTAATGTGTATCAACTTCCAAATTGGCACAGTCCTATATAAAGAGGCAGTAAAAACGTGAGCTACAGAAAATACCAATACCAAGTTGTATTTGTAACAATGTAAAGATAAACCTCCTCCTCTAAACTACATCCCCTCAGTGTGGCCTGGATATGCTGTGATTCTGAAATCCTAATTCCAGCCATCCTTTAAGTTGTAATCTTTCCTGAACCTCCAGGATAAACTTTAACCAAAGGGAGAAACCCATCCCATCTTTTTGAAATTTCAGCTTTTAGAATACATTTGTAAAAACAGCTATAGGAATGGACCTATAGCTATATATGTTCACAGAATCCTTTGCCACATTAGCAGTATTACTTAAGCTTTGTTGCAGACTCCATGTGGGATCTGAGATAGTTTTTTTCAGTAATGGATTCCTCCTCACCACTTTGCCATACAAGCCAGCTTTGACTACATTTTCTCCCATCTCAGCTGCTGAACTGTTGTTCTTTCAAAGTTGCTGCTGCCCATATGTTGAGGGGCACTGATCTAGGCAGTGTTTGAGTAGGTTGATACACCTTCCGCTACTTAATGATCAATTTCATTGTGCTCAAAGGGATATTCAGTATCTCTGAAATGTTTTCTACCCTTTTCTTTGACTTTATCTGAGTGGTTCTGAAAGCTCCTTGTTCTTAAAGGCTTAATCTTTGTCAGTTTTTCAAGCAGAGAGCATACAGAACTCTGACAGGTACATTTATTCTGAAATCTAGTGAGTCACAGGTCACTCACCTAATTGTGTGATTTGTCACACTAATTTTATGTACCCCAAGTTAATTCAAACATAAATGCTAAAATCTGAGTAGTTACATTTGGGATTAAAACAGATATTAAAGCAGTTAGATCAAACCCTGTCAAATACACTGAAACATTTCCAATTTTAGCAAACATCAATAGATACTACCTTTATGACATCTTTATAACTGAACACAAGATGTCACTACATCCAGCCTATTGATCTTCTGATAATATTATGTTTGGTTTTAAACAGTACATATCTGCTTGGTCCAGACCTTCCCCACACACGCCAGCTTGCAGTCTGTTAAACCTCAAACCTATCTGGATGCCAAGTCTCGGCTCCCAGATTCTCCACTCCCTATCCACCCCACACAGACACTCCATGCTTGTCACTGCTTATCATTTCATGTGCATGCAAGTTCAAAAGTTTCTGACTTTTAGTTTCTTTAATTTTTAAAGTTATTTCAACCACCAATAACTTTTCAAATGGGCAACGCATACAGTGCATTGCAAAAAGGTCAGCTGCACAGTAATGTAGGTTACAGGTACAGAAATGAAAAACCTGGAGGTCAGATTGCGATAAGAGTAAGAACTGTTATAAGAACATTCTTATTTGGCTGTTGTCCATCTCTCTTGTTCTACATCCAAGGCAAAGAACAGCTCCCTCAAGCTTTGAACAGGATACAAAGAACTATACAAGACAGACCAACGTTCACAAAGACCTGCCTTTTGGTCTGCTCTTTAATAATTAAAATGTGTTTTAATTTACCAAAGCTGTGAGAAATTCACCTTATCTAATGGTGAAAGTTCAATCTTGGCAATGGAAAGACCTGATTCATATACAACAGTTTGCCTACTCAGACACTAGTTGCAGTGCATCAAGACAGCCTTGATTCCACTTATATCTTTATGAAAAAAAATAAATAAAACATGTCTGCCACAGAAAAAAAGTCATGAACTAAGAACTAAGAATATTCAGCATATTAAGAAACTTGTATGCAAGTGTACTACGAAAACAGAAAGACAAAACTAAAAAAGGGTAGCTTTTATCACAGTGATTTCTCTCAGTTTCACAGGCTAAATAAAAAAAACAAGAACTGGCCCTTTTCCTGTTGTGCACTGGTGCACTCCAGTGGTCAAAGAGAGGAAGGCAAAAGTGTCTTGATTTCTCATTTAACAAAAGCTAAATTGTTCTGGATTTCTGACTTCTTATTCACAATTCAAGGTTATGATTTCACATTTTTTTTGTTTTATGTTTTTTTATGTTTAAATGAATAGACAATAGAATACAACAGCCATTAGACAGTAGTCTAATGGAGGTCTTGCCTGACGTTTTACATAAATATATTGAACCTCATAGACAACTCTGGTATTTCATATTTCACATTTACCTTTAAATGCTTAAAATTAATATTTTATTTATCTGCAGCAAACAGAGAATTGACCATAATATTTTAAAGACATTTTTTCTTACTGTATGTGAAAACAATACTAAAAGAAACAGCTAAAAAATGTATAGCCTTTCTACAACATAGTAGAATGTTTTGCAGTTTGTCACATGAACAAAATGCTCTTAAAACTTCCAGCTGTCATCCAGGACATCCATCCATTTTAGTTTTTTTTTCCCCATAGGCCATCAGGATGCACATAATGAATGTATAGACATTGTATTGCAATGACCTCTGTTGGGTAGAGCTTCCTTAAATGCACACGCAGTTAAGCACTTTCTTAAATACCTTATGATCCGATCATTAATAATAATAATAATAATTGCTTACACTTATATAGCGCTTTTCTGGACACTCCACTCAAAGCGCTTTACAGGTAATGGGGACTCCCCTCCACTACCACCAATGTGCAGCATCCACCTGGATGATGCGACGGCAGCCATAGTGCGCCAGAAC